CTTAACCCAGAGAGCCGAGATTTCAGTTTATACAGGTGGCTCAGGAAGATTATGTGCATGCTTAACCCTGGCACACATAACGACTCATCAGCAACGACCTTTCAAAACCTGCATATTTTGGGCTTTAGGCCTGAGGCTCGTAATTTGACGGCTCTGGGTGTCTTTGCCTTACTGCGGCCGCGAAATACATTCAGTCGGGCTCGGAAATCCCCCAAGAGTATCGTACGAAACCTAAACGGTGTCATAAGCAATGGGGAACTGCTACTTATCTTAGGACGACCTGGAGCTGGGTGCAGTACGGTCGCAAAAACATTGTGTGGGAAGCTTGATGGCTTGAAGCTAGACCCTGAATCGGTCTTCCATTACCATGGCATTCCACACCAACAGACACCAGAGAATGTCAAGAGAGCAATTCTTTACAACTACGGAACCGATAAACACTTCTCACATGTGACGGTTGGCCAGACTTTGGAGTTTGCGGCATCAATTCGAGCCCCAACCGAAAGACTACAGGGAATAACACGGACAGAATATGCAAAAGCTATAACAAAAGTCGTTGTAGCCGTGTTCGGCCTGAGTCACACGTATACCACTAAAGTCAAGGACGTGACAGAGGGTGAACGCAAGCGAGTTAGTATTGCCGAGATAATCCTGTCCGGAGCATCTCTAGCTGCGTGGGACAAGTCAACTCAGGGTTTAGCTTCAACAGAGGCACTGAAGTTTGTGCAGTCTTTGCGGCTGGCAGCAGATTTGGGTTCATCTTCCCATGTTGTGGCCGCATATGAAGCTAGCGAAGCAATTTATGATCTATTTGACAGGACTCTGTTGTTGTACGAAGGTCGCCAGATATTCTACGGCTCTTCTTCTGAGGCCAAAGGCTTTTTCGAGCGCCAAGGGTGGTATTGCGACCCACACCAGAGTACTGCTGAATTCCTGACTTCCATTACCAATCCCATCGAGAGGCAGCCACGTCGGGGTATGGAGAACAGAGTTCCCCGAACCCCGAAAGACTTTGAGACGTACTGGTGCCAGTCCCCAGAGTATCAAGAGCTACAGAGGGAGATGAGTGGTCAGAAGCATATTGTGGGTTCTCACTCGAGAGAACGCCTGCTCGACCCTAAACTGGACGAAGAACAGAAACAGATAGGAAAGACGCAGTTTGGTACGCAATATCCCGGTATAATGCTGCAAGTAAGACTCACTACCATTCGCGCTTTTCAGCGGGCTTGGAACGAACGTGCTTCAGCAGCATGCAAGATCACAGTGAACTTCATTATAGCCCTGCTGATCGGCTCAATGTTTTACAATACCCCTGCAACGACCGCCGGATTCTTCTCGAAGGGCTCCGTGCTTTTCTACCTAGTGATGCTCAACTCCTTCCTGCCACTAACCGAGCTGAGCATTCAGCTTTCTCAGCGTCCAGTGGTGGAAAAGCATGCCTCGTTTGGCTTCTATTATCCCATGGCCGAATCACTCGCTATTCTATTGAGTGAAATTCCCAAGAATCTTCTTCTCGTCCTGGTGAACACTATTGTCATATACTTCATGAGCAACCTTCGCCGCGAACCTTCGCAATTCTTCATATGCTTCCTGATCAACTTCGTGTTGATCCATGTGGCTAATGCAGCCTTTCGGATGACGGCAGCAGTGACGAAGACACTTGTGCAAGTACAAGCCCTCGCTGGGATGCTGGTACTTTGGGTTTTCATATTTACGGGCTTCATTATCCCGGAGCCTCGAATGCCTCATTGGTTCGAATTTGTCCATGATATCAATCCCATCTATTACGCTTATGAAGCCCTAGTCGCCAACGAGTTCCACGGTCGGGAGTTTGGATGTGCTGAATTCGTACCCTCTCAGCCCAACCTCCAGACGAATGCATATATCTGCGCAGCTGTGGGAGCTGTTGCTGGCCGTCGTACTGTTAGCGGTGACGATTATATCTGGCAGACCTACAAGTATACCTACGACCATGTGTGGAGAAACTTTGGTATTCTTATTGGTTTCCTGGTCGGTTGGATGGGTCTTTATTTCCTTGCGACGGAGTTCATTGCACACTCAACTATTCATTTCGGAAGCAAATCGGCTTACCTCAGGCACGAAGAGCATCGCAAAGAGGACGAAGAAGCTGGAAAAGGCTCGGTGACTCCAGACCAAGATACCACTGGCACTGTGAGACAGAATGATTTCAGTTTCATTGAATCTCAGCGAAATGACTTGAGCTGGCGCGATGTGGTATGCGAAATTCACACAAGTAGTGGAAACCATCGGATTCTGGACCAGGTGACTGGTTGGGCCAAGCCAGGGACGATCACCGCGTTGATGAGCCATAACAGTGTCCAGAAGGCTGAATTACTCAAGGTGTTGGCGCAGCGTTCCACAACAGGCACTGTCGGTGGAGACATACTCTTCAACAACTGCCTTCTGAGCTCGAATTTCCAGCGGAAGATAGGTTACGTTGAACAACAGGATATCCATTTGGAAACGGCGACTGTTCGCGAGGCTTTGCGGTTTAGCGCAGTGCTACGACAACCACACTCCGTCTCCAAGGAGGACAAACACACGTATGTTGAGCAAATAATCAAGGCGCTGGAAATGGAGGACTATGCCGACTCTGTCGTTGGAGTGGTTGGAGAAGGCTTGAACGTCAAGCAGCGGAGGATCTTAAGTATAGGAGTGGAATTGGCTGCGAGACCAGAGATTCTGTTCGTGGAAGAGCCTGTCAGGTAAGCTTTGCAATTGGCCTTCCTTGTATAGAGCAGGAGCTAATGTTTAAAAGCGGTCTCGACGTGCAAAGCTCACGCGCAATATACCGTATTCTCCAGAAGTTGGCAGACGCCGGACAGACGATACTCTGTACGCTGCAACCCAGCATGATGGCATTCAAGCAAGTAGACCAGCTCCTATTCCTCTCCAACGAGGGTAGAACTGTATACTTCGGATCCACCGGCGATAATGCACAGCCTTTGCTAGACTATCTCGAATCCAACGGTGCCTCCCGGACCCTCAGACAAAACGAAGATGCCGCCGAATACATAGTCGAGATCCTCTCCGCTGCCACCAACAAACACGGGGAGGCATGGTCCGATATTTGGGCCAAAAACAACCAAGTTGACCCTATCCACGAAGAATTCGCGAGTGTTCACACGCAGAACAACAACCCAACAGACGACAACGAGTTCGCCACACCTCTACACCTCCAATTCCCCATCGTCTTGCGCCGAACCCTCCAACAATACTGGCGCTCACACCTCTCCATCCTATCAAGAATCCTCCTCCAAATAAGCGCCGCCCTCATCATCACCTTCTCCTTCTACAAACACGGCACCTCAATCAGCGGCCTCCAGGAAACCATCTTCTCCGCATTAATGATCTGCACTCTCTTCATCCCTATCGTCCACCAAACCCTCCCCCACCTCACCAAACACCACACAATATACCAAACCCGCGAACGCCTCACCAAAACCTACTCTAGCAAAGTCCTCATCCTGTCCCTCGTTCTCACCGAACTCCTCTACCAAATCCCCCTCAGTATCTGCGTCTGGGCAATCTACTACTACCCCATCTCAGACACGACCACCCAACCACCCCCCCGCCAAGGCCTCGTCCTCCTCTTCTTCATCCAATTCTTCATCTACGCTATCTCCTTCGCCCTCCTCACCATCTCCACCTCAACCCTCATAACAGGCATCTGCACATTCATGGCCCTCACCTTCAACGGCGTCATGCAACCACCCCACGCTCTCCCCGGCTTCTGGATGTTCATGTACCGCGTCTCCCCATTCACGTACTTCGTCGCCGGCGTAGCTTCTACCCAGCTCCATGGCGTGACGGTTAATTGCAGCAGTGCTGAGATGGCAGTGTTTGATCCGCCTTCCGGGCAGACTTGTGTGGAGTATCTGGGTGATTATCTGAAGACGGTGCCGGGGCGGTTGATGAATCCCGATGCGATGACGAGCTGTGAGTATTGTCCGTACTCGGTTGCGGATCAGTTCCTCGCGGAGAGGGAGTATCGGTTCGATCGGAGGTGGATGGATTTTGGTGTCGGGTGGGCTTTTGTGGGGTTTAATATTGGGGTTGCTGTGTTGGTTTATTATGTCTTTTGGGGGAGGAGGTGGAGGTGGAGGTTGGGGGTTTTGGGGAAGGTTGTGGGGGTGGGAAGGAGGACTAGAAGGTAGGGTGGTACCTGTCCTGGCTGTTTGATGATGCTTAACACAGTTTCTACGCTTATCTGCCTTATTAACTGACTAATTGCAACAAAAAAAAAAAAAAAAAAAAAAAAAAAAAAAAAAAAAAAAAAAAAAAAAAAAAGCCATTTTCAGTTTCTCAAACGATTAGAATATTAGACCTTTTAATTTATGCCTTTTCGAATTCTTTTCTCTCGGGGATGTGATGGAGGGCGGCAAAAGTAAAGTATCTTACTAGCAGTTTAGAAGGCAGCAAGCTGGAGTATTCAGAACCTGATTCTTGCTGCCTGCCACAGTTGTTGGCGTCACCGGAGCGACTATTCTGGCAGCCCCCGGCTTTGCAACGGGCCCAATTCTCTCTATCTCTTGTGCTATAAAGCCTGAGTAACCATGTGTTTCTGGCACACAGGGTCTGTGGCCGCAACCGCCCATAGCTGGATTGGAAACATTGTAGCGGGTAGCGCGATGGTTATAGGACAAAGTGCTGGTGCAGGAGGAAATGGGTTAGTCATTTATTAACGGAGCTGCACAGTTCGGACGTGCTGCAATGACTGTGGGAAGTGCTAGTCTAGCATGGATCAAAGCTAAATTATGATTCCCATATTCCTTCAACTGATGGCTCAAAGTAAACTCGCTAAACACTTTCCTACAATCATTAGTTCTGCTCGCTGAAAGTAGTTCCGGCGCTCTGTACTCTTGCTCCCGCTATATTAATGCATTACTGGAGAAGCACGACAAACCCCTCTCCGTCTTGGCTGTTATTATTTGGGACATGATCAAAAGTATCGCAAACACTCATCTATTGCTGCTTTTCTAGGGGGAAAAAAAGACATTGGTATACCAATATGGGAACGAAGTAGAATCATCACCACTGTAACCACAAGCCCTGGCAGCAAATTCAAACTCGTGATCGTTTCTGCAAGTCGGTAGGTCTGACCATTCCTTCTTCAATATGCGTTGACACTCTCCATTACCTGCTTTCTCATCCGCTTCCTTAGCAGCATCGAACATGTACCGAAGCACTGCCCGACAGCCCATCTGCGTCCCAGCGCGTCGCAGGTAGTTCTTGGTATCCGGTGGCCACTCGCTCCGATTGTTACAGCGCCACTCGATATTTGCAGCAGTAGGAGCTCTTCCAGAATTGAGACACTCCACAGCGATTCGGAAAATATTTACAAAGCCTTTTCGCAGTGATTTGTTGGTTTTGAGGTTCCTTCGCACATCGGGATCGAGGTGCACGAGGATGTAGTCGTTGGCCTGTATCCAAAAGCTGCCATCATCAATTTTCTCCTGATAGACGTCGTAGTTGGTCTCGCCCTGAAAAATCAAAGAGCTCCTCATTCGGGGGGATAGAAATCCTTCTAAGCACCCTCCACATGTACATCCGTATCGGAGGCGTGTTTTATCACGCCCTGAAGCATCCCGTCCCAACAACAAGGATAGACAGGACACTGCGGTGTCAGGATACCCTTTGAAGTGATCTGACACATTCAAGATTCTGAAAAGGCCATATGGCTTTTGTGTACGCATTGTCTCTAACTTCTCCTGCAATGCTCCGAGTGGTGTGTACCCGTTAAGATCACGGGCTGTCTTCCAGGAGTTGGCGTGGTGAACATTCTCCAGTAGCCACCGTGTGCTCAGGGGTTTGAGCTCGGATGCCGTTAAATGCAGAAGCGTGGCTTCAGAATTGGTCACTCGTTCCCAGCCAAGCTCATCGGAGGCATGAAAGACGAAAAAAGCTTTGAGTTCTTCATCCATCAGAGTAAGAGCCGCGTGATGCAGCGGCAAAGAGTCACGAAGTCTGTCCATTTTCAGTCTCTTTACCTCAGTAGAAGGAGCTGCTTCATAGATAACTTCCAATTCTTCGTCCTCAAGATCTTCAGCATGGCTTGTGCGCGGATCGATATCAGAAGTTACCGCAAGGGTGCGAGATTGATGTTGGAGATCGAACGAATATGCAAAACATCGAGATGCTCCGATTCGGCGGAAACCGCACGATCGCCAAAAGTCAATGGCTCCGGATTGAACTCGAACCCGCGTCATTAGGCGTTCTTCTGCAGACTTGTCCCCTAATTGCGATTCGATATCAGCTGTTAATATTCCGGGGCTGACTAAAGCATGTAGAGTCCAAGCTCGTTCAAACGCCTCGTTAGAACCGTAGATAAAATCTGCGTGCTCACCGTCTGGCTTATCGTCTAGCCAGAACCGCTTGGCCTTTTCCAACAGCAAAGACACTACTCTCTGTCCCAGCCCTTTCCGACGGAGTTCCATTGCTGTAACATGGACTTTTTCGATTAGGAAAAGAGGGCCATGATCAAGCTCTTTCCCCCATATACCAGTTCCTCTTTGAACTGGGTGGTCCTTATACTTAGTCTTGACTGTTCCGTACCGATCAAAGATATGGAAGGCCACATCGCACGTTTCCTCACTGGGCTCTTCCATCCTCTCCCAGAATTTAGAGCGCATGCCCTCTCGATCAATATACCGAGCCAGAGCGCTTGCGACAGCGACACCATCGCAAGTGCATTTGACGACAAAGCTTTTCATCCATTTGGATCCGCCTACTTGTCCGTCGGTCAAAAAGAGCCGAATCTTCAGCATTCGTGCCGGGTCACTGGAGGCGGTATACTCGTGCTCTTCAATGTCCTGTTCATGATCCATTTCTTCGCTATCATCGCTGCTCTCATCTTCCTCCCACCATTCTTCTTCCTCGGAGTCATCGAATTCGTCGGTTCCAATGTCATCTTCCGTCGACCCATCGTCTTCGAAGTCCATTCCTAATCGCCAAAAGAATGTCAGTATAACTCACGTAGCTTATGTGTTGGTGGGAGGGTAGGGGAGCGCGGGGAACGCACTTTTTCGCTTGAGGGATACTCGGTTTCCCTTCCCTGGTTCCCCGTCGTTTTCCATGCTTATTATGAACTTTGCTTCCTGGCCTAATGTGGGCGAGACCTTTACGAGGTAGGAGAAGATAGGCTGGCGGGTGGAGAGACAAAAGTGAAGTCTGCCAACATCCGAGGGCATGTATGGCATGCTGTACTTAAATAGGCGGCAGACCCAAAATGGATGACAAAGAATGTTGTGCACTTTTCAATATTATTGGCTTCATCCTCGATAAAAAGAAGTACTAAGTTACTTCCGGGGCAGGGATTCTGGATGCGTGTGGCTCAGCAGCGACATGCTTCTAATGATTAGTTTTGCCCGTTCCTAGCTTGGTGCCAAACCCCCGTCTTTCACTCTGGCCCCCACCAACTGCTGCGCCTTCCCTTTCAGCCTGATGCACTGCCTCCCTCTCCCCCAATCTTATCGGAGATGCCGCTCGGGGGTTTCAGGAGCAACAAAGCTCCCCGGATCGACGACTCACATCTCATGTTCCTGGAGCTGATGGAAGTGCTCTATAAGCCTATGTTTATTTTTGACTACCAATTCATATAGTACTCTAGTACTTGAAATTATAACGATATTTATTCATTAGTATTCTTGTCCCTTGTTCATCTGGAGATTTTATATTCAGCAGGAAATATATCATTGAAAAACTATGTTCCAGTATTAGTCTAATCCTATATTGAATATAAAAGTAGCCATACGTGTTATATCTACTTATAAATATTATTATTAATACTGCAGTGACCAGTGGGTAGATAGCTCAAAATATCAATATAAATAATACCGTTATTTATTATATAATCAAAATGCTTTCTGTAATCTAAAAGAATTTATATAAATTACTTGATTTTCTAGTAAAAGATAGTCCACGTAATCTTGGTTTGATTAAATCATCAAATTATGAACATGATCTTTATTTATATATAAATCCCCAAATGCGAATCTTTTGATTATCAATTTATCAGGGGGAAACTTATTTCTACTAGTATTATTTAATCATAATGATTCCTATTAATATTTTGGGCTTGAAACTTGGAGAAAGCTATTTAAGACTATAGAAATAGTTTAGTCTAGCCTGAGTTTCTTTACAAAAGATTGGATCAGTCTAAACTCTAGAACTAGTATTCACTGACTTGAGATGGACGTATAGATATAAGTGCTATGTAGGAAACTAGGATACAGAGGCTAAGATCTGAATTTTTCAATAAAAGATCTTGGAACATGTATATCAAGGGCGATTGAGGCAGCAGGATCGGGAGGAGGGGAGGAGGGTCTTGAAAGATCCTAGAAGAGGGGGTGGACGGGGTATGTTCTAGATACTCGACCAGGCTGGGCGAGAAGGAGGAGGCCCTGGGTTGGGATGCAGAGGGGAGCTATTTTTAGTGTAATCGTATCCTTTGTGTGCAGTTTGTTTTACTATCTCGGGACTATTGTTTGATTTGGGATTTATTATGGATATGAGTTAATGTGGATATTATGTATGATGGGGGAACTTAGCATCAGAGTCTAATAAAATGATTTGTATCTAATCTACGTTCACAGCACACTAAGGAAGCAACAACGTATTTCGATTCAACTTTCTCAAATTACCCTACAGGTCAAACGGCCTGACAGATCCCTCCGCTCATCAAGCAAAGACAAGCAGGAACGGTTCCGTCTTCCGAGCGAGTTCTGCAAGTAAAGGAAAGAGAATATCGAGGGGAGATTACCCGAACCAGCCGGTATGAGCACACATCAAAGGTAAACCCTCCACAGATATCACCCACCATAGAAGGGCAACTGGTTGTTGTCCGAGAAGAGAGGTAAGCATGAAAGCGACTGAGCAACACGCGTGCAAAGGTATTATACATCGTTCCAGACGATTGTGACCGACGCCTTATGCACCATGCGTTGATCGACTTTACTTGCTGTATCCTTCTTCTACCAACCAGGAGCGGAACCAACATTCCATTCGCCTTCCTCGGCCGGGGCACTTTCCTGTTGAGTTCCGCCGTTGTCGTTCCACTCAGTTCCCCCATTGTTGTTCCACTGAGTTCCTCCGTTTTCATTCCACTCGTCGTTAACAGGCGCGTTGAAGCTATGGCTGTCGCCGTGAGGGGCGTCCTCAGTGGCATTGGCGGTAGGGCAACGCTTGATGGTATGGCCCACTATAGACAGGTATATTTAGGTTAGAGCGTGCTTCGTAGAAAGTTGATTACTTGGGGGCAGTCCTTACTTTCACCACAATTGTTGCACTTGACGCGAGAATAGTCTCGCTTCTTGGGGCAGTCACGACTGAAGTGTCCGACTATTGAGTATTAGTAGTCTGGACGGTAGAGACCTAAAGTAATGTTTGCGGAATTTACCCTCGTCACAGTTACGGCAGGTAACAGTAGAGACATCGCGCGGCTTGTCACATTCTTTCGCAACGTGATCCTCGGATCTACTTCGTTAGGAGACGTGAATGATTCAGTGGAATTGCTTCTTTCAGACTTACCCGCAGTTGCGGCAGGTTCTGGGAGGTGGTTTCTGAGGACAATCCTTCGCGAAATGTCCCACTAGATTATACGGTCAGTATATAGTAAACGAGGAACTGAAATGTTGGAGACTTACTCTCGTTGCATCGCTTGCATTCAACGTTCTCTGCAGAGCGAGGGTTGGGGCATTCTGATGCCTTGTGGTCCTCCGAGCTTGCTATCGTCAGTAGAGCACTCTCAAGTCTTGCAAAGTGAGCTTACCCGCAGTTACGACAAGCAAAAACATTGCGACGTGGCTCAGGGCAATCGCGAGCACGATGTCCATCAGCACTGCAGTTGACGCATTTAACGCCGACACGCTCACGTTCCTCTCGCTCCTCCTTGCAGCCACGAGAAGTGTGTCCCAATGCTACCAGCCGTTAGCATATAGAGACAGATGGAGCCGCAGTTTGTAGCGTACCGCCGCAATTGTTGCACTTGGGGACCTGTCGATCGTAAGGCAGACCGGCGTCAGCAAGACGTTCAAGATTGTCCTCGACGGAAGACGGCCAGCGTTCTCTGAGGTTGGCACGTTGCGGCTTAGGGCTGTAGAAAAAGCCAACCACGTATGTGCAGTTCAGCTTCCCCTGAAGATCAATGAGGCTGATACAATCGTTAACCTCCTTGTCCTAGAGGGTGCCATAGAGTTAGCGTGCGTGCTTCTTAGTGCTTCAGCGTGCAGAGAAGACGAATGTCCTGACTTACCAGTGCAATAAGGTAGAAATTGAGGTCCTCTTCACGCAATTTGTTTTCGATGTCAACGAAAGTGGCCTGCGGAAGCGACTTGGAGTACACCTTAAGTCCCTGTGCAACGTTAGTACTTGTGAACGAGCACACGGTCGAGGCTGAAGTAATTGCTTCCTACCTCACGGAAATCTTCGAGATCTCTTTCGTCACTGGCTTTCTTCAGAATGGCCCAAGCCTCCTCGGGGAGCTTGTCAGGAATATGGTTTAGATCAAAGCGACGGTTTTCCTTGCAGTCCATAGTCTTATGGCCTTCACACATCGTTAGCGCATGTATTCTATTAGAACATGCGGCGTGTTATACCTTCCATCTTGCAATTCTTGCACACGTCGGGAGCCTTTTCAGGGCATTCAGCGGCTGGATGTCCTTCCTTGTTGCAGATACGGCAAGCACCCTTGAAAATACGAGGCTTAGTGCACTCAGACTTATTATGTCTAGTTCATGTCAGACCAGGGAATGTATTGGAAAGGTTCATGGAAGGTTATACCCGTCCTCACCGCAATTGAAGCATGCCATGTCCTTGCGCGGTTCGGGACAGTTGCGAGCAAAGTGACCGTCGCTTCCACAGCTATCTTCTGTTAGCGACATTGAGGATCTGTAGGAAGCTACTACTTACTTCCGGCACCGATTATCATCGCCATGGCCTTCAGCCGCAGGAGCAAAGTCATCACCACCGTATCTGGGTTCAGTGCCGAAGCCACCAGGCCTAGCGTTCTCATCATTACTGAAGCCTGTATTATCTCTTAATTTCGTGAAACTTCATGATTTGGTGGAACATGATTGAGCACATGCTATCCTTGGGGAAAGGGACCCGTTTCCAAGAGGACACGTACCAGCGTCATTGCCACCACCCCAGGTGCCATTGTCATCTCCATCCCCTTCGAGCGTCCAGCCAGCCATCTTGAGAGCAGAGTCTGTAGATGATGGTAGATGGGTATCGGTGCACTGGTGTTGTTAGTCTGTTGGTAGTCCATCCCAATCGATAACAACGCGTGGACGCGTTCGGTATACAGAATAGGAACAGTTTTTGATAGACAAAGTTGATGGAAAGATCTATTTGCAAGAAAAGGATGTGACACCTACCTATTGATGGCACGTTGTTAAGGATCGTTCAGCCTAGTTGTCTGCAAAGAATTACCACCAGAGCCGTGATACAAAATAGGGAGTGTGGAGAAGGAAGGAAGACGGAAGAGGCGAACAGGAGATATAGAAAAAGGGAGACCAGGGAGCGGGGCCTTTTTGAGAGCTTGCAAAAGAGAGGAGCAAACAGGGTAACAGCTCAATCAATTCACGGCTTTCTCCATTTATGAGCAAACGAAGCGATCATGGCTTAGTCTTGTGGAACCCAAGGATAGCTATCAATTCCCTGCCATTGGATTGCGTGGAGAATAAGCGAGTAACACCAAAGATCTAATGTAGTACAGCTTACATAGACCCTACAAGCATATATACTTCTCTATCAGTCAAGTAGTCATAATACTAGGGATTCGAAGATGTTACGAGACAACTATAGCAACACAATAGAGCTTACGAGGAACTTCTATGCTACTACGTTAGTATCAAGGTATTATTTAGCATATAAATCGAATGTTAGTTGTGTGGGAGCATTTGTATAGTTCAAGTGAAAAGTTGTGGATTGTCAAGATATCTTCGTGAATATGTTAGCGCCATTTGCTTCAATAAGAACGCCACCTGGGCCCACCATCTAGGTCCAGAACACTATTGCGAATATCTCAATGAACAGCCATTAACAAAGCCTACTAGCGCCTTGGTTGGGGGTGAACACGCGTTAATGATTCTCCGATAACCGGTGCTTTATTCATAAACGCCTAGGAAGTCTGTTATATCTACAACTCTCGACACTAGGAACTCAGTTATGCTTAGTATGCAAGATAGAGTTTATCATAAAGGTTTGATGATCCTTCAAAATAGACATGAGAGGAGATTCTCTAATTACTAGCTACAAATGATCCAAGTTAGGTACTTATTTCAAAAGGGGCCCACTGGCAATGGTCATACACTTGGATATCAAAAATTCCCGGTGCTTGCAAGCCATAAGGCCCTCGCCCTTTTCCCCCCAGGCTTATAGTAGCAAGTACTATCTCACATCAAATTGATTGACTGAAAACTATATATATCCAGCAATTGCTCAAGTGATGCGTCAGGATATTTGACAGTTGCTAATGGGTAAACTGAACGAAATATGAGGCTGGATGAGTAACCAGCGGGACTTACGATGAGATAAGCCATTAGCTATCATGTTTTTCTACCTCGAAGCCTTCCCCTTCCAATGCAACAGAGCCATTGGAATGGCACTAACAGCTACGATCAAGGCAATCGCAATCCCCGTACTCCCTAGATACCCAACATTCTCCAGCATTTGCGGAAACCTGGACTACTGTCAGTATACCCACACCTCTCGAACACAGAAGACTTACCAGAATGGTCCTATGAATCCCCACGTCTGTCGCACCAACGTGATAAATACACCAACGCTTGCTGCTTCTGATCGATAACAATCCACGGCATACGTGAAGCTGACGGTGGTTACGATTTGGTTTCCAATAGACGCAATGGTGACCCCGACCAGCGGAGTGATATTCCACCGCGATGAAGCATGATTTAGCTGGACAAGGAAGATAACAATGCCAACTATCGTCAGAACAATTCCTGGATAGCTAATCCAGAGTCTGAATTCAGGTGCAACGGGCCGCTGCGTTTTCTTTCGCCCGTGCAGCATCCAACGGTCGGATAAGAATCCCCCAACCTGATCGCCAAGCAGAGAGCCGATAATCATCGCGATAAACTGCAGGCCTACCTGCTCCGAGTCAAGTCCGAACATCTCGGGGAAGAGTTGCGGCATCTCAATTGAAGGGAGGATACCACCGAGAAGGAATATCATCGCATATGCGGCGGCTGGAATCATAACACAGGGCCGTATTGCCATGCTGAGGGGGCGTAGAAAGTCCCATAGTTTCAATGGCGTTGGATCAATACGCCTCACATCAAGGAATCGTTGTCGAAGGGTAGGGTTACTGACGTGACTAGCAGCGCTACCACGGATGTATAGAGTTTCTTGGCCGAAGATCAAATATGTGATGAACTGAACACCGTTGGTCTGGTATGATTAGCATCTCTCTCCTGTTCTGATGACGCTCATACTCACGATAGCCAATATCCAGTAGATCCACCGGTATCCCACACGACTAGTAACGAACCCAAAAAGCAGAGGTGCAAGCGGCACACCCAAAGTTACCATGACGGCCCACACGCCCATACATCTTGCGCGGTCTTTCTTGAAAAACGTCTCGGCGACGACAGCACTACCAATTGCAGCGGCAGGACTTATGAAAAAGGCAACAAGGGCCCGGCAAAATCCCATAGTCGCATATGACGGACTTTTAGCGCAGCCCACATTAGCAACCAAACTGCAGAGCAGCGAAAGCAGGAATATAGGACGTCGACCATAGCGGTTGGACAATGGCATCCAGAAAAGAGGGGCACCCCCGAGAATGGCAATGACTAGGGAAGTTAAGTAGCTTGCTCTTTGGACGCTGACCCCAAGGTCTTCTGCTATCTCGACGAAGGCAGATTGGATTGAAGACGCCGAAAAAGTTGCCATCATAGCGTGGAATGCAACTAGAGCTAAGTTGATGACTTTCTACACCGAAGGCCTATCAATAACAATTTCTGGAATTTGTCTCAGCATAAGGGAGAACTTACCTTCCATGTCGGCCAATTATAGGGATCAGCGTCAGTCATGTCCGGGATAGGATCCAGTTCTACCGTTCCATATCTCTGAATCAAATATTGACGATGATCTTCCGTCAAAGCATCTGAGTCATTTTCTTCAATATCTTTACCATGAGACGCATTAAAGGCCTCTAAATCATGGTCATCCCTTCCTTTGACGGCGAGGTTCTTATCACCATTTTCATTCTCAACATGCTGAACGCCGGGCTTTTCCATCTTGCTATGCTGTGAATGAGAATCGGTCAAGAGGATACACCCGAGTTAAGGACATTATGACCCCCTGTCTGAGCCCCAAACCAACTCACTTAATATAGAAAAGGGCCTAAATATTTAGCCGACCTGTACCCCGGATCTTCACACCCGCCAAGCTAAGTTCCCCGCAGCGAACTGCCGACCCCCCGGACCCTACGGCAAGCTCACGTCTGATTTGCCATGATACTGGGTAGGGATGCGTGGTAATATCTTTCTAAGCAGGTATCAGACCGCGGTTCTTATTGCGCCAATGCGCTAGGCCATCCGCGCTCGTATTCCTCGGAAATTCCGACGTACGGTTGCCATCCTCACCCGATGAAGACTTAACACATAGTACTCTTAGAGAATATTTACGAAAGTATTCAGTTGGAGTCTAGCAGAACGCCACAGTAAATTGCAACTGTGCTCGACGCGTGTCCCGGCAACTAAGTCCATCTACAGCCTCTGCGGGACATTGTTCATTGGTTGTGAGGAATTATGGGCCCGGGGATTTCACAATCAGGCTCTCGCTAAACTTCCTCATGCACCCGCACATGCGCTCTGACCATCAAGGGCTCCTTTAGATCGCTAATTCCAACACTAATCAATTCTGGAATGTTCCCGCTAGATAAGCACTTCTCCTGAGCCTGTGTGTCAGCAAGTTCAAAAGTAAACTCCCTCAACAATGTGCTCATCAGCTTATAAATATTCGTCATTGCGATGGTCTTCCCAATACATTGACGTCCACCCAAGCCAAAATGCATTAACAGCCGTGCCTTGGCGGCAATCTCAGGGTTCTCCCATCGAAGAGGATTGAAGATGTTGTGATCGTCACCCCAGACGTCAGGATTGTGATGGAATGCATGGTTGCAGACAGCGATTGATGTCTGCGAATATTGCATACTCATTAGCATTGTAGACTGCTTCGTAGTCATAGTCTTATAAAGTGGCTTACCCCTTGTGGTATATTCTGTCCTTCTATTATAACACCCGTTGAATTCATCACTCTCCGAGCTAGAGGCATCGTGAAGACCGGCGTAATCCGGAAATTCTCCCTTATGCAGTTGCGCAAGAACGGTAGGGCGGCCTCTGCTGCGGATACAGAATAGGCTGTCTCTCCGTGTGTAAGGGGAGGCAGATTGGCCTCGATCTCCTTTACGCACTCCTCCATATACTGGGGGTTATGAAGCAGGTGGTAAAACAACAGAGTTGTCGTGGCACTCGTAGTGTGAGTTCCTGCAATACTGCAAGTTCTTTAGCGAATGGCAACCGACACATCATAAGGACTAGGAAGAATACCGAAAGAGAGACGTACATAAACCCAAAAGCTTCAGTCTCAAGATCCGTCTGTGTAAGATGCTCACCAGTATCGGGATGCTTAGCCAGTATCAAATTCGTTAGGATGTCCTTCCTATCGTCGCTTTTAGACATTCTGTCTGCACCAAAATCCTTCAACCTGCGTCGAACACACTCCGACGCGAGATCCGCACAAGCTTTGCGGCCAGCAAAGAGCTGTTGAAGGGGCTTGTAGGGAACAAGTGGAAGATACTTCTTTAGTGTTGCTGTCATAGCAGGCCAGGCACCAGTAACAGCAGCAAGCAGACTATGTTCGATGACTGGCGGGACTCGGGTCTCATCATCCGTCTCCTGGACCCCGAATGATTGACTGAAGGCCAGCTCACCAAAGACGTCGATCACGTAATAATGCAGTGCCTTTTTCAGGTCGAATGTCCGATTCTGAGCACTATGCTCTCTGATCTTATCTCTTAAGATTTGGATATTGATGTCCAAGTATTGTTCCATCTCTTTCACATAGCTCATCGAGAACCCGTGGGACATGTGGCGTCTGCGGACGGAGTGTTGCTAATCACGCTTAGAAATCTCTTCGGGCAATTGTTATCGTAGAGCATGAGCCACTCACTTCTTCATCCCGCATACCGAATACATTCGGATGAGCTGCACCGTATGCATCATAGAATTCCGTCTTTGGCATTCCTCTTCCACCCTTCTGGTAGATTGCTTGTATGGCGCCTTCGTGGGTGATGCTGAGTTTGTCTGGCCCATACCGGACAATTGGCCCATACTTTGCATGGAGCTCTGTTAGGTTGTATGGTTGCTTGAGAGTGAGGAACTGGTAGACCTGCCAGAGGTCGGTAAGGCATGCTAGGAATGGACCGGGGTATTTGGCAAGGGGGTGTAGGTATCGTTGGTAGATAGAGTAAATAGTGAGAGTGAGCGCTAGGAAAATACCAGCGCTGGTCATGGGAGTAGATGTAAGGGTGTGTATGAAGATGGTCATTTTCAAACAGTGTGGTTTGCTTATTTTTGTATTTTAAGAGTAGGAGGAAAGTAGTAGTAGTAGCGATTGTTTGATTTACACCATGCTGTACTTCTGCTGGATTTATATATTATTCGTCTATCCGACAACATCGAAGCAGTGTCATAGCTCATCAATATCTATAACCGAGATCTTATGCCCGAATATCTTTTTCTAGCTGCAGGTCTGAGCCATAATACAAATTACTGGGATACTCTTTCATGTCTTACAGCCCGATGAGGACACCTTCGGCTACGCTCGGGAAGCGCAAATCCGATTGGTCCAGAGGAGGTGAACGAGACCGGGTGGAGAGTTTCCCCGCATTATACAGGACACTAAACTATTGTTGAGATGAGAATGCTTGCTTTGATCCCTCACTAATCTGAATGCAATCGTCCGGGAAAACTGCTACCATGTCAGGTCGCCCACATCGCAGGCGACGAACTGAGGTTGCCTGTTCGGAATGCCGATACAGGAAGCTAAAGGTATTTACTAGTGCATCCACATTGAGACAGCTAACTTCGATTACACAGCACTGACATCAATAGTGTGAGGGAACAAGGCCGGTGTGTGCGCGATGTCAGCATAGGAGGAGAGAATGCAAGTATCAGCAGCCTACAGAGTCTGGTATCCGACGCCCAAAGGCTAAGAGGTCAAGCTGCGTAAGATGCCGGAGGTAGATGAATGCTGATTTTCGTTATATAGAGACCAGCAGGGCTTAGCTCACCGGATTGAGATACTGGAGGATAAAGTCGGTCATAAAACCGGATCGCAAACACATTCACCAGGTTCATCAGTTGGGAAAACAGTGAGCGAAGATACAAGTGTTGATGAGCTTGCCACACATGCATTCTCTGAGACGTCACTTGGACATGTATACTTTGGTAGGTAGCCTTCTAACATTAACGCCAGACAATCTGATTGTCTGAGGTAGGGTCTAGTTCGAACTACGCCATGTTTAGACACATCTCAAACGCATTCGCAGAAAGCGCTCTCCTACACCTCACGCTAAGCAGTCATGCATCTACGGCTCTTCAAAGCTGCAGCCTATCGGAAGAAAACCCAAAATCCGCGAGGGAGAAACTATCATTGGTAAAGCAATTCTCAGTATCTCTGGAAGATATGCACGCCCTACCGTCTAGAGATGAGGTACAGTATCTTATTAGTCGCTTTTCCACAACAATCGGTGTTATCCTTCCATATGTCTACTATGAATCCTTGTTAAATACATATGAGAAAGCTCTTCTTGAAAGACCCCCAAGGTTCCAAAGGGGCTTTTTGGCTCTTCTGAATGTGATTTGGGCACATGCATCTGCGTCCTTGCAGCTTCCGGAGGCAGAGGTATTCTACAGCCATTGCGCAGGTCTTCTCGACCAGCAAGCACTGGAGAGACCAACTTTTGAACTAGGTGAGTCACCTATGCCTTTCCAATGATTTATCTGAGTTAACAGTAATGCAGTACAGACATTACTGCTAAAGTCTCTTTACGAGCAGAATCATCAGAGGTCTACATTGAGTTATACGACCCATACAAACTGTGTCAGAGCAGCATTGCAGATGGGCTTTCATTGTGCCTCTGTTCGGGATGCTCATGGACACACACCCGACAGTCTGCATCGAAGATTGTGGTTGGGAATTGTGTATAATGATAGGTAGGTTGATGTTACTGTTATTTCCTTCGGGAAATAGGCAGCGTTGTTCTCCTTCACACCTATAACTACCATATTCAGCGGCAGCAGTTTTGACCTTAGTAGGATTATGGGATTGACCCAAGGGAGACCGTTTCTTATACCTTGCTCTATTGAAAAGACCTGCGACATAAAACAGCCCGCAATACTCGGAGATATAAGTTCCCTTTATGTGTTTCAGATGGCGTCGGTTAACCCCAAAGGATATAAATTTACACATGCTTACTTCATAAAGTTCCTCTAACACACTCCTGGACGACATAATCGAAACAATGTACGATCAGAATTTGGACTCCGGCCAGTCTCTCGACATACAGACAGCCATTAACAAGCGTGATAATCTACACTTCCAGCTGGAACAATGGGCCGACAGTCTTCCTGAGTGCATTTCCCTGCTCCCGAGTGAAGAGTTACTGAAACAATCAGCGGTCCCAGATGCTCGCTGGGCCGTAGGAGTACTCCTATGCATACAATACCATAGACTGGAACTGACCATGAACTTCCCTCTAATGATGAGAATCTTAGAGCCTGACTCAATGAAATTGCTTGGAAACCGTACTCGGGAAATTATTCAGCGCAGTTGCTCCCAGATCCTTTGGGATGACTGGTTGGCATTACAAGAAGTGCAGGGTTTGGTATCACACATTTCCACCCTCCAAGGATTTATAGACATATATGCATCATGGTATACATGCAACTATACAAGTTTGTCTTCCCAAAAGATTCTCGCCTGTGAACCAACATGCTAAAATATCTCTAGTATTCACAGCCATCCTCCACTGCCTAGCAATATTTCTCGTCCGCCAGCAATACCCCTTAGATTCCGAGCCGACGCCAGTCCAGATCCGCCAGGAAATAGAAGTATGTCTCTCCACCATGAGAAATATTAGTAGAGGAAGCATCGTGAACCAGAAGGCGGATTACTGTATTCAACGGCTACTGGTGGTCTTTGACGCCCTTGGTAAGCCAACTCTACCACCTCAACACCTTCCTACAGATTATCGCTTACTCACATACCTGCAGTCAACGAACCTCAAGAGCATACAAGTAATCCATTAGACACATTGACCACCGACTTTATTTTCCAACATATCAAGCTCCCAACAGAGGAATTTCTCAACCAATGTAGTCGGCACGAAGAGTCAGAGCAAGCTCAGTTGTTTTTGGATATATTTTCGAGCATCCCGCTTTGTGAATGAGTTATACATAGTTCTACCCCGCTGTGGAACTCCTTCGATAATGTACCATAGTGAAACTCACAGAGACCGTGTTTCAGATCTTGACAGAGAGGTCTTTCAATATAGGGAGCCATTATTGCGGGAATTTGGATTACAGAGATACTACTAGCTAGGAGCCTTCTAAGCTAATCGCAAGGAAAATGGGACGTGGTATTATCATATATCTCGACCTATATATCAAATGCTAAAAGTTCATGTGAATGCTAAAGTAAAAGGTGAGACCATGCATAAATAGAGACCCACAGCGACGTGAGAACGGAAAAGAAAATAAACAACCCGAATATATATCGAAACATCCAAACAGAATGTGTTCATGAAATTGGCCCACTCGAAGACTGCTCGGCGTCCGCGTTCACGATCTTGGCGACCCTCAGACACGTTTCACATTTGTTCATGCTTCGAGCCACAGCTACCTTGCGCTCGAAGATCGTAGCTCGCTGGTCAGAAAGTACGAGCTTGTTTTTCAAGTCATTAATCTCCTTTTTATACTTCTGCTCACGTTGTTCAAGGGACTTGATAGTCTGGGTATGTCTCCTACTCGCCTCTTGTGCGGACTCCAGCTTGGCGGTCTTTTCTGAATTGATCTTTTTGAGATCGTCAACCTGGCTTTGCAGCGAGGCGATGACTTTCTCCTGATCATAGTTTTTGAAGAATGTAGTTTCAAACCTCCATATGAGGTTTTTGAGATATTGCACGTCCGATGGAAGGGAAGGCCTAGTAGGCTCAGTCGCCTCTTTTGTACTTCTCTGGTGGCCTTGGTGATTTTCTCCACTTCTTGAACTCGGTGTCATGCTTGTTCGCCCGGGCATGGGGCCTGCAGGAGGGGTTTTATTGCTGGATACGGGCGTCTGAAACGTGTCAGTTAGCTTGGCTTGACGCAAGGCTGGTGAGCATGTGTATCTTACACTTCCGTTAGGGCGAGAGTCAGGCATATCAGTATCTCCCTGGGCATCAGGTCTGCCTACCCCTGCATCTTCTTCGCCGTTTTGGTGGCTTTCAGGAGCATTGTTCGTATCATCGATGACGATTGTCTCGATTCCATCTAGACCTTCTCTTTCACATGGTAGACTGGGCCCCTGAAGTGTCTCTTCATCGGAGTCCTGTTCATAGTCCGAAGAGGTATCCTCGTCTGTCATATTGTTTTGATCCGTTTCTTCCACTTGCTCCTTTCCCGACGAAAGGACCGCAGCTGTTCTGGTCTGCTTCCCTGGACGGTTCCCAGGCGCCATTTCGTCGGGCAGTGCACGCTTATTGGTCCTAGTTCGTAGCGTTACAATGCGGGCTGGAGGAGGGTCCCGAGGGGTATCAGGGTTTGACTTTGGAATCAGTAAGACAGCTATCAATATAGAGGTGAAGCGAGCCAAACTTACAATGTTGGCTTCTCGTCGTCTTTGTATACTCATAATCTATTATGGAGTCAGATATGTTCTGGCAGTGGGAGCAGATAAGACATACGGAATAGGCCTTCTCTAGGGCGTTTTGGCTTCTATGGGGGAAGAACTGCTGCGTAGAGTGTAAGTATGCCACCGTGGGTAGAGGGAGTCAATGATAAATAAAGGGGAAGGAACAATCTATGCACACCTTGCGAAATTCCTTCCAGGGCATGTGACTGTACATTGTTCGCTGATCCCAGAAGCGCTGTCTCTCTTCATCGTTCCACATACCGCCAGTCTTGATGCGTGCTCTAGGCTTTCTAGGTTTGCGCGAGAAGGTCGGCATGAGTGTGATGGTAACAGAGGATGAAGAGACCCGCTTGAAGATATTTAAACGAGGCAAGATATTATTGTAAAGCTGATTGAAGGCAAGAAAGGAAGGTATTACAATGAGGATGTCCCACAACTTCCAAGGCAGTGGGGGTGAAATAAGGCTTTCGGCGAGGCTGAATCAAGCACGACGACAGGCAGAACTGAAGTTGAGCTCAGTTGGAAAAGCAGGAAACAGGATCCCTGTTGTGTTGAGGTGGAAATTTGCAATCAGAGATACCTTTCGATAGATAGAATACGCGGTAGCAGGCTTCCTCAATGTGCGGTTCACTCTCCGCAGGTGAATACCCCTAGTAATTTTCACTCCCACCTCTAGTTAGAAATACAACAAGTTGAATATTGTAACCCTATCATGAGATTGTTTCAGACAGAGGCATAGTATCTGCCTTTCACCGACTCTTTCCAACGGACAATTTCTCTGAGATAACGCAATGAAAAAAGCACGCTAAGGAAGCAATGCGGCGCAGCGAAGGTGCATTAGGAGCGTCGTTAGCCTCGTGCCGTTGGCTTTCAACCCCTGCGCAAGCCAAATGACAGTTCTGGCGACTTGCATAAGCGCTGCGATTAGACCTCATTCATGCATTAGACGGTTTCAGAGGATGAGATAACACCTCCAGGAGCACTCAGCCTTGCAGGCGCAGGATTGTGGTTGCAGCCTTGTAAATGAAGCTGAAAACTCCTGAAGCTTGAACTGGTCCTCGAATGGAAAATCCCACGCGCACGCTCGCAGTTGACAGGTTTCTGGTTTCTCAATTGTGGTGTTAAGGGTAGGATTCAAAATAGACGACCGTGAACCAGATTTGAATGGGGTTCTCGCACGATTTCCAGATCTACTACAGTTCCTAAAGTCTGTTCACCGCCGGCTGAATTCAGGTATTCTTGGAGGCTTATCTGGGTTCCGCTTCTTGAATTTCCTGCTTTATGCTATCATTCGATCTTTCAAACCCAGTTTCCCACGCTCTATATTATTCTTGGCGTGCCCGTTCGCCCAGCAATATGTTATACAATGGAACGAATGATATACAAGATTGATAACTCAACCCTGGGCGCTGTCTACTTCAGACAAGAAATGTTGTAGTATACATCAGAATAGCCTCACGGAACATGATAGAACAGCAGAGCACCTCATTGAGCAAACATTCCAATTGACACAGCTAGGTTCTGTGTGTGATAGCAATTCCGAAACTGCTATAGGCTTCTTCAATCAGCAGAGCTGGCACGTAAAAGCCGTAAAATAGCTGAATAACCCTGCCGGACAGCCAAGGCAACAGCATTTGCACCATCAGTCTCGCATACGTTTCGATCGGCTAAATAGCCCCAAAATCGGGACTAAATTGTAATGACTATATTCATCTATTCGAGAGGACGCCGCGCGACTAGTCGCCGCTCATGGTTATTGGCTCTACCCATATGACCCATCTCTACGGCCCTCCTAAAAGCTGTGCGACCCCCAGTGTTTCGAATCTCCAATGGAGAGGCCCTTCCTAGGCTCAACAGCTTCAACACATCATCCCCTAGATATGTGTACTTGAATGAATCGGGTGCCAGTTTTAGATGTGTGACACTCGCTCCATGCTGGATGAGAATTCGGACTGTGCTCTTTCTCCCATTAGCTGCAGCAAGTTGAAGGGGCGTAAACTGTTCGTAAGAGAGATTAACATCTGCGCCATGCTGAATGAGACTTTTCACCGTGCTATCTTCTCCGTTGGCTGCAGCAACTTGAAGGGGCGTAAAGCTATCGTTAGGAAAATCAATAAAGGCGTTACGCTCGATAAGTAGTCTGACGACGGAGTCATGACCATACTGTGCAGCCCGAGCAAGTGGAGTCCAACGTTTGTTATCCTGCAAATTGACATCCGCACCGTAGTGAATAAGCTGTTGCACCAAATCTTTGTATCCCTTCTTGGCGGCCCAAGTGAGAATTGTACAATCATCCCGACTGATGCCCGTCTTGCAACTTGAGTTCGGGTCGAGCCCCTTATTGATTAGAAGAGTGGCCAATTCAGGATCGTCATCCTGAACTGCTGCAAGTAGCACGGATTCCATCTTGCACCGATTGTTTGCCAGGTCAATGTCAAAAAAGCAATTGACTACTTCCATGTTACGGTTCTGAAGAGCATAGAGACGGGCAGTATCCCCTTCATGATCGACGGCTTCCATATCGGCTCCCTCCTCAACGAGGAGCTTTACCGTGAGTATATGACCAGACGCAGCAGCCAATATCAGGCTAGTTTGTGATTTCGAATTTCTGGCCTCTAGATCTGCACCTTTCTTTATGAGGATATTGACCGTTTCTGTATGGCCTTTACTAGACGCCAACAGAAGCAGTTCTCCTTTGACGTCAGAACTTCTATGAGCGTTAAGCCTTTTCTGAGATAACAAAATCTCCACTATGTTAGCATGGCCTCTTTCAACAGCGTAGTGCAATGGGGTGAAGTCTTGCAGATCCGCTCTGTTGATGTCACAGAAGGGCAGTAGCTGGGAGACCACATCAGAATATCCCTGTTTACAAGCATAGTGTAGGGCCGGAAGCAGCTCCCCACTAAGCGGTAAATCACAAATGCGTCGTATGTGGTCTGGAAATTGCATTGTAAGTCTGAAAAGTGGCAAGTGGCGTTCCCTGACTGCCCATCCAAACATGGCTTGCAAGTGCGAAAACTGAGAGCGAGCATCTGCTCTCCATGGATGAAGACCCCAACTTTCATTAGATGTCAGTGCCAAGAGCTTGAACATGCCCCACAGAGGATCTTCCTCGGAGAATTGCTTGGTATGAGTTGTCCAATGACTTCGTGCATAGGACAGAAACCGATAGCGCGCTGAAGACGGCGATGGCACAGTACGTATGTGGGGTGAAGGTAGTGAGACAGAGAAACGACGCTCTAGCCTCGATGACAAAAGACTTTTGATAAGGCGAAAGCATGGGACATACTGTGGAAGCAAGTCTTTGCCTCGCACATTCCACTCCACAGACTTTGTTGTCTTTGAAAGATGAAGGTTGAAATCAGAGAACGAAAGATACGTGATGCAAAGACGTCCACAAATCTGGTTCCCTGAGCGGAAGGACTCTGCAAATTGAGGCAAATATGCATCGAAACTGCTGTCAAGGTACTGGCAGATTGATGGGTGTGCGAAGCGCGCACAGCTATCGACAGGGTCTAAGACGACGAGGTTTGCGCACCAACCCAAGATAAAGTCACTTCGTGGAATCTTTCCCCGGTCCCAGCATTTGTCGTTCAAGTCCAAGGCTACTGCTTCCTGCAATTCTTCACAATGAAGCGGTCGTGCGCTGAAGCGAACCCAGATAAGTGTTCTGATAGCACGAAGGTCGTGACATTTTATCCTCTTCACACAGCGCCGGTATGTTTCCTCAAGACCTTTTGGTAAAGTTGCTAAAGCGACACGTATTTCTTGCTCGGTGGCACAAGTATACCAAATGATCTCGATTTGCAGATAAACCCACAGAAACCTGCAGTCTATCAGTAAAAGTAGCACGTAATGTAGGTTTATAGGCTTGATTTACATTCCCGAAGACTCTTGCAGTAAGATATTTTCCATATCCCTGATAAGCTGATTGTCTTCAGTAAGCTGTTGAAGCACCATTTGGTCTGCAATACTTTCTCTTATGTAGACTCGAATATCTTGTAACACATTGTAAGTCGTGGAGATTTGAGGTACATTCGGAAGGTATGTCGCGACACTTGTGCCTCCCACAAAGTATTCTCTGCTGAAAATGAGTAGCCGTGGGCCTATGGCTTTATCCCCGCCGGTTCTGCATAGCGATCTGAGATAAGTAAGGAGACGCCTTGCGTCTACCTGTTCCAATGCGTCAAGGCCATCTATTACATAGGTGGCATATGACACATCAGAAGACAGACTAGCAAATATGTCTTCCAAATCATCAATACCCGGGACTTCCCTTTCGCTTCCGAAATATCTTTGCAGCATTCTTTGGCCGTTTCCCGAGAATTGCTGAGCCCTCTTGATGATGAATTCTGTCAGTTGACGTATGAAGCTCGAGAGCAACTGAGATAGGTCCGAATCATATTGCACGTCGCAGTAAAAGAAGATGATAGGGGCATGGGGTTGCAACGATTTTCTACGCGCTTCCTCAATTGCGGTGGCTCTATCGGGTCATCAGTACAAGGCCCTTCCTCAATCATAGACAACGCCATACTCACGCGATAATGGATTTCCCAGAGCCGACTGTGGCATAGTAAGTGACCAATGCCATGCATGAGAGATCTTGGGGGCGCTTACTTTTACCAGAGCACCATAGCCAAGGATAGGCCTTGTTAGAAAGCCAGGCCTGAAATTCCGGGTGATCTAAGAACCATTGTGTAGTTCCGAGGAGTCTTTTCCGTGAAAGCCTCTGGTGTACTCTTTCGTGGTCGTAGCGTGTGATGCGCGCCAGAAAATCGTCATCACAAGCGAATCCTAAGCCAACGCGTAAGTTTTGTGAAACATACTACCCGAGAGTTTCTTACTCGACTTGCTGACCCAACCACTGGACAATGGCTCCCTTATCGAAGAGTAATTACCAATCTGCCCTGGTGCCGCAATTTTTAGTCCCTATGCAATGACACCGACGAGTATATAGTACCACGCGCACTTACAGTCCAGGCTTAACGCGGCAGTTGGGGCCTCTAGAACAGAATGCCTCGGGATCACAGTGAGGAGCTCTTTCGCGTAGGCAGCTGCCGTCAGGGAGGCATATCCTTGCCAGTCTTTCTTCTTGTGCGTATCAGCGTAGTCGCAAATTCCTCGGATAACAAGGCAGGGGAAATTATCCATCAAGCCAGCAGCTTCCATCTCAAAGCACAGAATGCCATATTTCTTTGCAATTTTATCCCGGAGCTTTCCGTCCTTGATGACCTTGTTACCTGATGCGATCAAGCCGTAGTGAATTCCACACGGCTGTTCCAGGCTCGTAATTCTCCCACTTATCGCAATTTCTGATGATTGCGGACACCCGAAAGTAGCCGCCATACTCGGGTTTACCGCAAGGACTTTTGAGACTAACTCTGAAACCCGACTCGGCTTTTGCAGATGTGTTGCCTGAAGTCTAGAAATTGCGGTCAGCAAAACCGTCGGTGGTTTGTTTAACATTCCCGTGTGCTCCCATTCACCCCCATCGATCGCTTTCCCATAGTCATATTGTATAACTCCTCCATATTCACGAGTGGGCTTGCTCACGACAACATCCCCGAGCTGAACTCCAGCGTCACGCACCCCTCCGCCCACTCCGACCATCAGTCCAAACCGAAGAGATGGGAAACGTATGCGGACTTCAGTAGCTATGACCGCTGCAGAATTAGTCCCGTAAACCCCAGACGGCAGACTAGCAATAACAACGCGATGGCCGTGACAGACACCGAAAGTATATGTGTTGTTGTCGTGAGGTTGGGCGGGCAGGTCGGGTAGACGCTCGTCCAGCAGCGCCTCGGCGGCTGCCATCTCCACGGGCAAGGCGCAGATCCAAGCTACGGTGAAGTCTTCATGGCGAAGAGAAGTTGGCGAGCTCATTTGCTGTATCTCAGACAGAGCGTATTCTGTTCAGCGATGACTGGTGGTCTTGGTGTGTTGGTATGAGTGGAAAGGTTGATGGATGTTGGAGATCGGCGAAAATGAGACGCGCAAGGCTGGATTTTTAGCTGTGGCTAATGACAGGGATTGACGTGGCAGCAAAAAGCATCGCACTTTCTTTTTCTGATCTGCGAACTTGGGTAGGGAAAGAAGCCTAAAATTGCAAAGTTCCAAAAATTTGATCTTACGAGATGATAGCTTGGAAATCTACAGAAAATACGGGATAGTACATGGAGAGCCGGGGGGGTAGTAATAGTTACCAGAACCTCTCCTGCAATGCATGATCAGCCTACCAGCTTATAAGCAATATTAGCACTAACTCAATCATCTTTTGAGTTTAATGAAACCTGTAGAACTCTACTTAATTCTACAGACGTTGCAAAACTGTCATAATCCATGGTTTTCCATAACATCCAGCCAAATCAACCATTCGGGATAAATATGAGGCCGCTCATAATCAGGGTTAAACGAGTCCCGCTCAAATCCCACACCCGGCCTGACAATCCCATATTCGTCAAATGGATTTAGCCCATTTCCATACAGAAACTCGTGTACTTCCCTTTCGATCCAGATCCCTAGGCCAGGCTGTCGATTCCACACTACATCCACACCCACAACAAGCTTAGGCCTTTTACTAATACTTCGATATCTCCACCGTGTACGGTTCCGGATTCCTTCGATCATGATTGACCAATTGTCAATATAGGGCTCTGAAAAACTCAGAAAGCTCAGTTCGACTGAGCGGATGGTGAGTGGCAGCCGATCCAGAAGCCTGACCATGTCAGTTGTATGCACTGACAAGCCTGAGAGTCCAAAGTGGTGTAGTCTCTGCCATTTGGCGACAGGAAAGACGGTATCAAGTCGAATATTCGAAAAGTAAATATCACTAGACGAGTTTTCCTGCAGCGCAGACACATTGGCTTTGAAGCTGAAGTGCTCTAAATCTACCGCAACTCTCAATACGTCTCGCAGATTCCCGTTGCAGAAAATAGGCCATCCACGTTCATATTGATTGGGGCATATAATAGCAAGATCAAGTCGCTTGAAACCTGGCTGCTTAAGGGTAAATAAGAGGTTCAAAAGCTCCTCACAGGGTTGTTCAAAGATCGTGCAATTGATCCCTGTGTTCAGCTGGTTCACATCAAAAACGAGCTCAGAGACGTTGTGATGCTCTCTATCTCTTGCCAGCACATGTAGTGCAGCCCGGACTCCACGCCATCTGTCCTTCCCGTGCTCGCTCGAATTGGTCCACAGGGTAAGGGCTGGATGATTCTCCTTTTGTGTCGGCCATCCGCACGGGATAGGATAATTAAACCCGGGCGGGAATGTGCGAATCATGGGTGTCTGATAAAGAGGGTGGAGGATCCGTGCATGGGTAACAGGTGTAACCGTGACTCTTTTCAGGGCTGGAAATTGCTTCAACCCATACTCAAAGGCTTCCACGTCGGCGTTAGTGCGAATGTTCTCTTCCTGTTCCCTACTCAATTTCCTATAAAAAGCAAAAGATTCTTTCAGCCATACCGTGGAAGCAACATCCTGCTCGGCCCGCTCTATGCTACCCGCCAGCCCCGTATAGTCGGCCTGGTACCTCCGCAAATCTGCAATATTTTCTCGGCAAGCATTTATGTACCAGAGTTCAGCTCCTGCGCAGGAGCCTGGCTCTCGTGGATTTCGTCCGTAGTCTAGCACCGAAAATCGGGGTGGGAGTAACAGCCGCGTGTCATCCCAGATAATTTCTTGGATGTGCTGGCGAAAGACTTCGTGGTCGGCAACCGCACGAAAGACATCAAGGTTACGTTGGTCAGCCGATAAAAAAACACGTTCCATACGTAAGTGCGCGATTTGGTGCAGAAGGTGGGACGTCAGGCGTAAAGACTCTATATCACGGTTGGGTAGATAAGATACAATCGTCGCAAGTAACTTGATTGGAAGGCTCGTAAAAGTTTCTGCTATGTTCCCTCTGGATATGGGTACCATCTTGTCCTGAGGCTAAAGTGAGGGTTAGAGCGAGGAGAGCATCTGGGAACGCTAAAAACCTCTATATATATGTCAGATGTATGGGTGAAACGTTTATATTGCGAGGGTTGAGGGAACGCAGTCATGAAATTGTCAGGAACTAAGCAAAACACCCTATGTTGCGTGTTCAAGGTAGTCGGAAAATGCATCCACTGGTGTGCCATTCTTCCGGTACTTATCGACTATGTATTTGAGTTTTATCGCGACATGCCTATGAGCTCTTTGATGGCCCATGAGAGCAAGGCGATGCCCAATAGTCTTAAATTGATGCTATTCGGAGCCTCCAAGGGTACCGTTCCTTAGGTAGGACTCTCCCACCGACAGCTAGAGCATGGGTAATAGATAGCGTGAAAGTAAGCAGCCGTAGCAATTTATATGGAGTGGGGATTGATTCTATTAGTTAGTGGTACATTTTCAGGTCCTCCACTATTTCGCGTCGGTCGTTATCGTCTCTTGTAGCAACCGAATTTCTTCCAACAAAGCTTGCCCGCCATTTGCTAACAAAAGCTGAGCCACTGTAGCACCCAGCGCCTCAGCATCCTCATCCGTTCCCACTTCCGCTGTCGTCCGTTCGGATAGCAATGTTGTCCCATGGGGATGAATAATAGTACCATCTAGTCGCAATCGAGCTGCCGAGGAAGCTGTCGGTGACTGCTCAACAGTGCATTGTACTGCAACCGGAGACGAACAGCCACCCTGAAGAGTGCGCAGCAGTGAGCGCTCTGCCAGACATATCCGTCGGGTAAGTAGGTCTTCAATTTTGCGAACCATGGTCTCTGTCTGGGTATCCTGCTTGCGGATTTCAATGCCCAAGGCGCCCTGACCGACAGCATACGGGAATTCCGATGGAGGCAAGCGCTTAGTGATACGGTCTTCTAGATTAATGCGGACCATACCAGCCGTGGCTAGGATAATTGCCGAAAATGGACCTTCTGGGTCATCTAGCTTTCTCAGTCGCGTTCCGCTGCCATGTCAAGTTAGAAAAATGTCGAGTATTAGGGACAGTAGGGGGCTGTTTACAGATTGCCACGGCATTCCTCCACTTTCAGGTGTGGGTATCTGTAACGAAGTAGGGCTTTCCGTCTAGTGGAACTAGTGCCCACCACGGAGCCGGGGGGCAATTGACTCAGATCCGTATACTGCGACCGCAGCCCCTCCTTCATCACCAACGCATCGGTGGGATCTTCCCGATAAACAATAGCCCCCAGTGTGCAGTTCTCTGGTAGGCGCGTCGGCATATCTTTCAGGCAATGCACGAGGAGGTCCAGCTCTCCTGCGCACAGCTTGGTTTCCATCTCTTCGGTCCAAATGTTCTTTGCTGCATCAGATGGCCCTGCAAACTTCAAGAAAGGACTGCTCTTGTCAACATCACCGCGCACCACCACGGTTTGCCAGGGAAACTGGACACCGGGGTGAGCACGGGTCAGTTCCTTGGAGACATGCTCTGCTTGTACTAATGCCAGTTTGGAATTGCGGGTGCCCAGGCGCAGCTCCTGTACTGTGGGTGGCGTATTCTGTGACATCTCAAGTTACGCGATAGTGACTGAGAAATATGACTTGTGCGTAGTTTGTAGATGACAATTGGACTTCGTGAAGTTGATGATTTCAGGTTTCAGTTCGCCTGTAGTCAAATCGATAAACTAGCCAAGATTAGGTGACTAAGAGATAAGCGCTTGTATGTTTTGAGACTAGTGATCCAGAGTGGAGGCCTGAGAAGAACTGTCCTGTTATCGATCATTAACTCAAACTCAGCGAATGTAGAAAATTGCCCGTGGCAGATTATGGGATCCAGAGACCGTATCTGGTTTGGCAACCATGCGATGCTTAAATACCTGGTTTTCAGTGTATCACGCGGCAGTGATTCTTCAACGCGACGCCGAATTTCTCTTCCTGAGAAATCATCTATATCAATAGAGCTGAAACTATTAAGGATATTGAGTAGCCGAGAGATGTGCTTTCCAAGGAAAATTCATAGTTTCATTGTCAATATTATCCAGAAGATCCGTCATGAAAACAAGTTGTTGTGTCGTTAGTTCTACGGAGAGCTGAAGTAATTACCACGTTTCTGCTGCCCCGTCACTGTAGCACTGCGGATGCATCAAACCCTACATATTCCCGAGCCGTGCCCCGGAGATTCAACTTTTGAGCGGGACACCCCTTGCATCCAGTATTTGACATAAAATATTACACCTCTTCTTCATTCATTGTAGCGGAAATATATGTAAGTTTTGACACTCCGCTCTGTCACATTTCATGGGACCTTTGGATTGGCTATGACATGAGATATTTGTCACAGTGCTATGCAGGGTTAAGCATCGAAAAAGAAAACCACCCAATGCAAGCCGGGTTATGAGAGATTTTCAGACGTTCAATAACCTGTCAAGAAGGATATAATATCCTCGGCCCAATAAAGAAGTGCTAATCTGATGTATCCTCAGCTGGAGAGACGAATTCCAGCTGACAACCTGGAAAATAGCGTAAGCCACGATATGTTCTATACTTGCTCTCGATTTACCCCTTAACAGACTTCTCAAACCTCCTCAAACTACCTAAGAGAAGGTACTCGGTACTGAATCATTAGAATCACTGTGCAGCGGGGAAGACACGTGCATCCTCGGTCACTCTCAAAGTTGAGACTTCGCTTCGAGGTTTTGTGCAGATCCCCCTCCGTTCTGATGAGTTGACAGTCCCTGAAGAGTATCCTCCGCCCGATGGATCATCAAACAGCCTATTTTAGTCCCAACGTTCGTGCCGATCCAGAATCTAACATTGCAAATACGCAAATACGACACGAAATATTGCCCTTTTTTGAGGATTCATTGCAGCAGATGATACAAAGTCCGTTCAGCATGGACCCCCTGAGCCTCGCATTTAAGATGGCCAAAAGACCTCGTTGTACCAGACATGGCCCAAGCAAAGCTATTCAAGTTCAAGATGATAGCAGCTGCTCTTCTTCTGGCCGCAGTGGCCCCTGTTCTGGCAGCACCTAACACCGACGCTGTGTCCGTTTGCCAACACCTACACACGGTTTACCCCCAATACACCGTCTGGGACCCCACAGGCACCTACGCAACTGAGACATTCTGGAACCAGTCCTACTACAGCAATGCAGTCAAGGAGTACTGGAACGGTGTGAACGCTGACAACCGTCCAGCCTGCGCCTTCTTCCCTGCAACTGCGCAACAGGTCTCCGTTGCAGTTCAGCAGCTGAACAAATATCCCACAGCACCTTTTGCACTTAAAGCAGGTGGACACAACTTCAATGTGGGATTTTCCAGTACTAATGGGGGCGTTCTTATCTCGTTCAACGAGAATATGTCCTCAACCACCCGCAACTCGGACGGTCTGAGCTTCGACATCGGCCCGGGAGCACGTTGGGGTGATGTCTACGCCGTCACGCAGAAGACAAACCAAGTCGTGGTAGGTGGCCGATTGGCCAATATCGGCGTGGCAGGGCTCACGACTGGAGGAGGACTGTCATACTACTCAGCTCAATATGTACTACCTCACCCCCATCCCCCCTCTGCCCCCCAAAAAACATCCCAGCACTAACCCAACTCAGGGTCTAGCATGCGACAACGTCGTCAACTTCGAAGTAGTCCTAGGCAATGGCACCATAACCAACGCAAACAGCACCTCCAACCCAGATCTCTGGTGGGCCTTGCGCGGCGGTGGCAACCGCTTTGGCATCGTCACCAAGTTCACACTCAAGGCCCATCCACTCGGCGACAACGGCCAAGTCTGGGGTGGCATTCGCTCGTATACTGCCGACAAACGCGAGCAAATATTTGAAGCGCTGTCCAACTTCACCAGCGAATACCCAGACGCCAAAGCCGCCATCATCCCGACCTTCGACTTTGGCCTGCCCGGAGCCCTGGTCTCCAACCCCGGTATTTTCTTCTTCTACGACGGGGCCAAGCCCAGCGCCAACGCCTTTGCCGGACTGGAAGATATTGAATCCTTCATTGACTCTACTAAAACCACAACCTACACCGATCTAACGAACGCAGTAGGCGGAGCCAAGATCTACGGCATCAACGCCGCCATCCACGTTAATACCTTCCCCAACATGCCGTCCCAGCAGATGACCCAGCTGTTTGAGACCCATTGGACCACGTACCAGTCTATGATAAAGAATGATTCCTCCCGGAACTTGGACTTTCAGCTCGGTACCTTTACCCCGCAGCCGCTGTCAGTGCGTATTGCTCGTGCTTCTCAGAACGCTGGTGGTAATGCTCTCGGTTTGGACCCTGCGTACGGTGATCGTGTCTGGGTCGAGAATGATTTGATCTGGGTCAACCCGGTTTGCAATGATGCTTGTCCTGAGTACTTGCGCGAGGTTGCGGATACTGTAAAGGAGGCGTTTAATAACACGCTACTGGGCACTAAGCCGACGCACTATCAGTCGGGTGATGTTGATTGGATCTCGTAAGTCTCCCTTTACTTACCCACATCTATTAGTGGTGTTCAGAACAGTGCACTGATAATTGTAGATCCAATCCCCTATTTATGAACGATGCCGCCGACTACCAGGATGTGTATGGCAGTTATGGACCTACGAACAAGGCGAAATTGGCGAGCATCGCTAAGGCATATGATCCAACGGGATTTATGTTCCGTCAGGGCGGATGGTCGTTCTGAACCTGATGGTTCCTGGAACGGAGGAGTGCAAGGAATGTACAGTTTGTTGGATGATAATCTATCGTGCGTAGTTGACTGTTGAGGACGCACGTACCCTATAGTATACCGTCAGCTGGATAATGGAATATGATAATGCTTTATTTAAATCTTACAGTGGAATTCGGCAGACAAAGCTGACCTTATTGTTCTGCGACTGATAGTTCTATTGGAGGTTGGACTATGCACCCCCAGTGTATGGCGATAAGTAGACTCTACATCTACTCAGATATCTTTTAAGAGACTATCTTGAACATACCAGCAGTAACAAATGATACAATACAATAAAATCTAACCCATAACGCTAGTAGAGTATAACCGACAAAACAAAAGCTCCCCTCCCCTAGGCCAACCTACTCCTTCCTCCCCGGACAAACCCACTACACTCATCAATCCGACTCAAAAAAACAAATCAAAGACAAAACAGACCGCCCAAGGTCCACATCCCGTATGAACCCCAGCTTAATCCTATTTAGAGGCATACACCCTACTTGAAAAGCCTGCCCAGCAGACCTCCCGCAAGGTTACTCATAACCCCACCCGAAAGCGCACTATTCGCAAATGTCGAAGCCTGACTAAAGCGATCGCACCGGGAGAACGCAACAGTGTTGGTGATGGTCAGCGCGAGAGCAATGGCTGTACCCAGTTAGTATTCCACACTTCTTATACACCTGCTGGAAGGGGAGGTGTAAGGATAAACTCACCAACAAGACTCAACCAAATCACACTGCTCAAACGGATAATGGCCAGAATGGCAAGACCGATCCACAGCGCAGGCGTCACGTACAGACTCAGCCAGAAGAAACGCTTGTCCGTGGCAGTGATAGTGCGGGTAGTGGGATCGGAGGACTCGAAGACCCAAGTGGAGTCGCCGGAGGAAGTGTTGACTTCGTTCCACCAGCGGAGACCGACCAGGCGACGACCGGCAATGTTTTTGAGGTAGTAGAAGTCGGCGGAGAGGATGAGGAGGGTGATGATGAAGACGAGGACACTGGTTGCGGCGGTTAGCTGGGTTGGTTGGTTGGATCTAGATTGTGCAGTTTTGGGAGGTTCCGGAATTGGAGAACGAGGGAGCTATGGTCATAGATTTGAGTGTGAAAGGGATATACGCACAAGTTCTTGATAAAGAGCACGCCGAAGAGGTACATCAGTAGGGCGCTGATGCGAAAGCCCAGGAAGAACAGGAGGGTAATCGGGTGAGCACTGAGGCGCCAGTTCAGTTCGCCCTGCTGCGGCTGGAGCGGTTGCTGTTCCATGATGACAGAAAGCGTGCAGGATCAAGACAAGAAGTATCCTCTGATAACAGTCCAATGCACATGAGATAGACAGCACTCAACCAGCCTCCTGACGAGTCCAGATCATGCGAGGCGGGACTGCGTTGATGCTGCGTGTCTCCAGCCAGGGGCGGTGGGGCACGGCAGAATGTGGAGCGGCAGACGGTTACTTGATACTCTTTTCATCTTATTTCTCCGACTCCCCCTCTGTTTCATGCGCGATCGGCACACGCGTTCATTCATATTGCCCAGGTTGAGCCTTTGCTAAGGCTGGAAAACCAATATTCACCACAAGGGAATGGTGCAAACGCCAATGGAACAAACTAAAATACGCGCGAGTCGCGACACCTGCCGGATGAGGTCATCGGCCGGTTCCTGACTGGAGAAGCCTTTATGCGCAAACCGAGGATCTCTTAAAGTTGCGGGTCAATCCGCAACCGCTGCAGCTTCATCCGATATCATCCATTTCCTCAATCCACCGAAGACATTGCAATTCAGTGCGATAGCCACTCACTATCATATTCCCAACTGAGCACTCTCCTCCCATCCACAATGGCAGCTAGAAACACCCTCCGTCGCGCCCTTCTCTACAGTACGTCTCTTCTCCCCCATCTCTTCCCAGCCCGCAGCTCTCCCCGCATTTTCACACCCATCCCACTCCCCAACCTGCCTCTCCGGCTATACCAATTGACCCCCTAACTAACCCATCCAATCTCAGTCCCGGGCTCCTCCCAACGCTTCATCGACAAATCCCGCACTCTAACCGCCGACTGCGTGGCCTACGATCTCGAAGACAGCGTAACTCCGCACAAGAAAGCCGAAGCTCGGTCCCTGGTGCGGAGAGCGCTCGACGAGCCCGCACCGCAGGGAATCCGCGAACGAGCCGTGCGAATCAACTCCGTAGACAGCGGACTCGCCCTAGGTGATCTCACCGAAGTGGTACGCATCATCCTTTCCCAAATCTCCCCTTTCAATCCAATATACTAAAACTAAATAGCTGAAATCCCCCAACCTCACCACAATCGTCATCCCTAAAGTCAACACCCCCTCGGACCTCACCTTCGTGAACGACGTCATCACACACACACTCTCTCAACAGCAACAGACCCAAGACCCCTCGACCCCCCGAACTCCCATTTCCCTCCTCGCTCTAGTCGAATCCGCCAAATCCCTCACAAACCTCACCCAAATCTGCGCTTCCACGCCCCTCCTGCAAGGCCTCATTTTCGCAGCCGAAGACTTCGCCCTTGACCTCAGCATCACTCGCACCCCATCATTGACCGAATTCCTCTTCGCAAGGTCGATGATTGCTACTGCTGCTCGCGCTGCGAACCTCCCCTCGACTATTGATTTGGTCTGCACGGCGTATAAATCTACCAAGGGGGACGGGTCTCCGCCTGCGGTGCTGGAGGAGGAATGTCGTGATGGGCGACGGCTGGGGTTCAATGGGAAGCAGTGTATTCATCCGTCGCAGGTGGAGACGGCGCAGGCGATCTTTGGGCCGGATCCGGAGGAAGTTAAGTGGGCTGTGAGGGTGTGTGTGGCGGATGAGAAGGCTGCGAGGGCCGGACGGGGTGCGTGGACGCTGGATGGGAAGATGATTGATGTGCCGGTAGCGGAGAAGGCTAGGGCGGTGGTTAGGAAGGCTGAGGCGTGTGGATTTGATGTTGGGGGTTTGAGGGAGGAGTGGGGGCACCAGGAGCCGGAGTGATGAAGATGATTACAGATGATGTGCGTGTCTTTGGGTGAGTGGAGTTATATACAAGTAGTCAAGCCGGTTGACAAATTAGGAATAGTGACTATATATGATGGTACTTGTTCGTGAGGGGAAGGTAGAACCGAAATGAGATCAAGAAAATGTTTGAGTAGATAGTCTAATGATCACCTCTTACACTCCGGCGCATTGGCTTCCCTACAAGGATTCATATCAACCCTAGTATTCTCCAAAGCGTGTACGAGGTTGAGCTGGAGTGCGACGTTGACTTTGAGGATCAGGAACCAAGAAAGGGTTTCCTTGAGGGTTTGAGAAAATTTTGCTGTGTATTATTGCTTTGACTCCAGGTCTTCGCGCTTCAATAGCTGGATCTTGCCCATGGTCAGGACAGGCTGGTCCGCCTCCGCCTTGCCGTTGGCATCGTCTTCCAAACTCTTGGCTAATGATTTATCGTAGCTGGTGGGGTCAATCCCCAGGATGCCTCCAACATATCCACCCCGCTCGCCGGGGACACTGAACTCGCGGAACAGGTACTTCCATTCATTCAGCCATGCTTTGACGGCCTTGCCGATCTTGTCCTTGCCGTTCTTTGAATGATGGCCCGTGCCCGTGATGGCGTAGACTACTCGCCGGCCTTCGCGGGCATGTTTGAGAAGGATCTTCTCCAGGTATTCAATGGCCTCCTCGGGGTGCAAGCCATGCAAATCAACATAGAGTTCCTCCGCTGCATCATCCAGACCAGCGTCTAAGAGATGTTTGTTACGTTCTTCGTACAGTTGTCGTGCTGCTTCCCGGTGACACTTGCGCATGGCTTCGTTTTCAGCCTGTCCCCGCAGAGACAGAGCTTTTGCGGCTCTTGCGTCATTGCGGTTCCACGCTTGAGCAGCACTATCCAGACAATCAGCTCCAAGTCTTCTGACTTTGAAAGAGTATCAACTTACCTCTGAAGAAATTTGTTCCGTACAGTACCATGGCGGATAGCCTCCGTCCGGTATTTGATATATTGTTGGTTCGCTCGGGAACCAGTTTCCAACCAGGGAATATTCTGCGGCGGTGGGATTGCCTGAGCGGCTGCGCTATGCTCACGGCCTTTAGCCCCATCCCGATTGTTTTTAGACGAAGTCTTCCCCTTCCCTAGTGCCGGAGATGGGGACATGCGAACCACGTCCGCTAAAGATGTAGGCATGTTTTCTCTGCTTGAAATATTGTCGCGATTTCCGCGCTTCCCATGATGCTTCTTGCCGGTGTTTTTGGCACTGACAGCAGCAAGGGTGGGGAATGCGTCTGGATCATCGACCGATGGGGCAGCCGGGTTCAGCTCACGATGCTGATGCCGACTCCCTGGTCGGGAATGGGGGCGGCTCAGGTTGGTCATGCTTCCATTCCGCTTGCCAACAGCAAACTGCATGGCCTGAGGCACGTATTTGCTGCCAGGGAACGCGGATAAATGGCCAGGATACTTGCCAAGATACTGGCCAGCCCATTGGTCTCCCATCCCGGCAGTAGACTGCAGAGGAGGAAAGGCATCTGAGGTACTTTCCATGTGAAATGACGTGCCAGGCGATCCTGTGCCGGGGGTACCGTCTGTCACACTGAGATTTGCAACGAGAGCTGAAGGGTCATGCGAAAATGGACAGCCGTCACCTGCCAAGCAGTTCCCCATAATCCAATACCTATACGAACGCGCTGCTATTAGGGTCCTATTTTTGCGAAAACAATACATTGAGAGGCTCAGGAGTATACTCACTTGCAAAGGTGGTTGGTTAGATCATGACTGAAACGGCAATCGGCACGGAGACATTGGCCGGTAGACAGCCAGTACTTGCAGACCACTGGACTGCGACTGTTGCTCGGAGGTGTAGCGATCTTGGGTGGCTCCATAGACATGGACTTTCCGACCACAACGTGGCCATCCTCCGCGTGCTGCAAGATGGGGTCGCCGTCACCGGGTTGCGATAGTGACGCGATCGTCGCGCCCAAGTCGTAGCTGTTGGCTTCCAGAGCCGCCTCAATTTCATCGTTCGATCGCTTGTCTCCCAAAACAGTGCGTAAGATATCATGCGGGCTCATATCGGGCACAAACTCGGGTGCCGTGGCGCTCAGCCCTCCTGTGATGCTCGGGGTCCCAATGGACGAGGTGACGCTATTCGCGTCGTCGGCAACCAGCCAGTCCACATTGCTATCGCTTCCCAAGTCACCATAGAAATCGGACACTTGGCTCTGATCGGAGAATTCGTATGCGTTTAGGTTTGGGGAGTGAGGGATGGGTTGCGCAAGAGCTAGTCGAGGCGATGGGCGCGGAGAAGTGAAAGGCGATACGGTGGAGGACAGGGGTGGCCGGGATAAGCCGCCTCGGGAGCTCTGGAGCCAGGAGGTACTTCCGGGGCTCGTGCCTAGGTTCGAGTGAGGAGATAATGGGGTCGCAGAACGTGCCATCTGCCAAGGGGCAGGAGATGAGCGGCGAATCACCGTATGACGGGGCGGCGGAGGGGAGGAGTCTGGTAAGGTGCGATTGCGATGGCGCCAGAGGATGTCGAGGACGGCATTTTCTAGAGACGGACCTGATAAGGAGGTCTTTTCGCGTACAAAATCCTCTATTTTCTCGACCTGCTCTTCTTCGTCCAGAGCTTGATCCTGGAGGATGCGAAGACAATCCTCGAGGAGGTCTTCTTGAATCATGCTGGATCGTCAGGGGTGTTGTGAACGAAGGAAGGCAGAAGTAGGAGGGCGACGGAGGATACACGGTGTGTGCAGGAAGATGTGGGGTAATCGGCGTTTGGAGATTGGGAACAGTAATCAAATCAGATCAAGGAGACAACAGAAGACAGGTCAGATTCGATGATCCACGTCCATGATTTGTTCCCAGGACAGCTGGAATTCATGAAACGAATATAAAAGCTTGATGGAAAAAAGAGGGATGTTAGCAAGGTTGACAGGCGACAGGGGACAAGCTGGAAGTCCACGGGTGATTACATCGCATCAGCCGTCGTGCAATGATCGATGATGACGGGGAGGGGGGAGAAGAGAGTGGATCCGGGAAAACGAAGGAAGGAAGGGAGAGAGAAGATAAGAGGAGACGGGATGGAGAGATGGAAAAAGGAAGTCCAAAGAGGGAGGACGCGCAAGACACACAGAAGAGAGAAGAAGGGGAGAGAGAGAGAGAGAGAGAGAATAGAAGGAGGAGGAGTGAGAGGGGTAAAGCCAGCAAGTAGAAAGAAAGAAGGGGAGAGAAGCAGGAAAGAGGGCAGCAAGCAAGAAAGTCGGAGAGAGCGGAGGGATTTGGTATTGATTGATTGATGGTTTATTTCCCCCCCTCAAACAATTACTACGCGGTGTCTCCCGATAGATCTCTCTTCCAACCAACACAACTAAAGAGGTACTCTTGTTATTTTTATTTGTCGTTAATGTTTTTTTTCTTTATTATTGACAGGCCATCAACCAAAGCTGAAGCTTCCGGGACGCGATTTGACTCTCAACCAAAGAAACGGCAGTGCTGTCACCGTCCCAAGTTTCCCCCCCTTTTTTTGGGGGAGGAAATCTAGACTGGCAGCCAATTCCTCACTAAGAATTGGGCCTTCCTGGTCGATCTGCCGGACTAAGCAGAAAGAAGACTTGCTGGTCAGGATCGAGATGGAGACGATGGAGTCGCCATAGTGTCAATCCAATCTCTACCTACCCAAGTGATAGTAGATTAATTCGTGACTCCCCACAGTCAGGGACATCACCAATGCAGTTCTTCATTCATGTAACTACAACTCTATACTACTCAAGATGCGATCGATTGAGGGCAAACAATAATACCATCCGTAATCTAAACCCCCGTATCGGGGCGTATAAAACAAGCAAAGTGGAACAGTCAGCAGCGATCCTGACTAAGATCTTCCCCGATTTCCGCCTTCAGGCAGACACTAAACTCCACCTTCAAGAGAAATGCAGACGGACTGACTCTCACGAGGTAAGACTGGATGAGCTGATTGATATCGCGGTCATTCTATCGCATCCATCTCTCGATCTCTAATACCAAATGCCATTTTAATCCGATCTTATGTTCCACCCCCCACTGCCACCACCCGAGATCATTCCTCTTTGCTGCAACTAGCAGAAGCTCATTGACCAATTACCGGACAGCTCCCATTTCATCATCGCCTAGCTAGACCGGACGTCGTGGACCCTTCCTCTTCTCACTCCCTGACTCTCTACTATCTCTCTCGCCATCCACTCATGCTTCGTCCTTACACGAGGGCTTAGCTACGCCCTCCTTGCTGTTAACTGCGCATCGCCAGTTTGAACGACCATTGAACATCTACAGCGTTGCATTCAGACATTGCCGAAATCCCAAGTCGCGTACTGGTTTGCGCCCGTCGGCCCATTTCTCTGCACAGGCGTTCATCCGCCTCACCCAATATCGACATCGAGCCGAGCTTGACTCCGCATATTGAATATCAAGTTAGGATCATACGCTCGACCACGATTTCAAACTCCCCTTTGGAAAGATGCCTGCGGATTACTCATCCACCGCCCGGGCACTGTCCGTCTCGACCTCGTCCCCAGAACCTCTGTCTCCGTCGGAGGATGAGGCCTATCCGCCATGGAGCCGAAGGGCACCGGGGAGGCGGAATTCAGCCAGCATCCCCGGCGGACGACCCGCTACCCTCCGAGATCAGATCGTAGACCGAGCAACCAAGACATATCACCAGCTCCTGGAATCGTGGCGCAAGATGAACTTCTGGCAAAGGGTAGGGGCGGTGTCCGCGTTCTTATTGGCCAATCTCCTTGGAATAGGCTTTCTTGTCTTTACTGGGAAGGTCTTCATCTGGCTTCAACCCGTGGCGGCACAATGGGAGCATTCTCCTCTAGCCTACGGGGTTCTGTGGTTGTGTGTTTTCTTTGTCTCCTTTCCACCGTTGGTTGGATGGTCCACATTTGGAACTATGGCGGGCTACATCTTTGGGATCTGGAAAGGGTGAGTGAAGAGTTTGCATTGATGTGCAAGGAGGGCTAACACCGTTCATAGATGGCTTCTTTATGCTTCCGCTACTGTGCTTGGGTCGACTTGTTCTTTCATTGTGTCTCGGACAATCCTATCCAAATTCGTCCACCGGTTGATGGAACACGACAAGAGATTCGCAGCGTTGTCGCTGACGCTGAAGTATGACGGCTTGAAATTGCTGTGCATGATCCGCCTCTGCCCGCTGCCCTACTCGGTATGCAATGGGGCGGTCTCAACCTTCCCCACAGTTCAACCGTTGACGTATGGGCTTGCCACGGCACTCATTTCGCCGAAGCTGCTGGTTCCAGCCTTCATCGGTAATCGGTTGCGCGTCTTGTCGGAGAACAATGAAGAGATGAGCGCAGGCTCCAAGGCTGTCAATATTTGCAGCATTATTGTCTCTATTTGCATTGGTATCTTCACGGGGTTGTATATATATAGAAGGTAAGACTCAAGGTGCCTCCCTGCATTGACCCAAGCCTTTGAGACTAACGCACTTGGATAAGAACATTGGCCCGGGCCAAAGAGCTAGAAGCGAAAGAAAGGGAGGACATCCGACGCTCGCTGCAAACTGACCATGCTGCCCATCGCCCCCATGGCGCGTTTTCCGAGGATCCGGAAGTGAACAGCGCGGCCGCTCTTCTTGCGCGTGATGAAGAAGAACGCATCGGATTCGGCGACCTCGACGACGACCATGTCGACCTGGCGATTGACGATGAGAGTGGCAGTGAGACCTCCCCCCAGCGCACACAAGCCTCCCCTTATCGCGATGAATTTACCGACAACGATTCAGATATCTTCAAAGATGGTGATGGGGCCCATGAGGAGATGTATACCCTACATACACACGTGCGGAAACCCTAGGGCTCATGGTTGACCCGGGACAGTCAATAGCGAGGGCGTTGGTGGCTACGTGATAGATATCTGCGGTTACGAGTGATGACAGCACACTTTTCCGGATGGACATGACGGTTTATAAATTCCCTTTGGGGGTATCGTACATATTATAATTAGGCGAGGGGCCCATAAGAAGCCCGGCTTCTGGCTATGCCTCGACTGTTGAACACCAAGTTGTGTTAGTACTTGTACAGAGTAGCTTTAGAATTTCTGCAGGTAGGTTGACTGATCAGTAAAGCAATCCTCGGGTACTACTGGAGACCTCGCTCTCTAGGCCACTGGGCGTGGGATTGGAGATTCGCACGGTGGTGACGAGTGCAACGTTCCAAGCAGTGGGAGGTCCACCTTGACGCTTGTGACGCGGGAGGATCCGGGAGCGCGAACAAAAGCTGGGGGCAAACGGTCAGATCGCAAAGCAGCATCTCACCGAGGTCCTCTTAGCGAGATCAGACGGACCTAAAGGAAGACTAGGAGGAGCAAGAAAGGGGGAGATGGACGAGGAGTCTTCAGGCTGACGATGGCACACGAAGACGGCCAGCAGGAATGTAATGAAAGTATCGAAAGTATTGGCTGGCCGGACTGAAAATTACGCGGGGTTCCGGCCGAATTTCCCGCCGACTTTCCTTCCCTTTTCGACTCCGACAGCCTCAATGCAAGATCATCCGTCTACTTGGAACTGACTCCCTTCTGCCTCTGCACTGTGGCTCTTCCCCCCTTGATTCGTTGTCTCCATATCCACCCCTCGGGCGGCGGTGTTCTCTTCCTACCGGTAAGTCGGTCGCTACTACTCTCCGTTCCACTTAGATACCCCTGCGGTTTCCTCGTCCTACTACTAGTAGGGTTTGCGCCGGTGCCAGAAATAAGTCAACCAACGTGATGGATTCGCAGGCGAAGGACCTGATGTCCTGTTAGCCACTAACTCCACTCCGGCATGTATGTCAACTGGTCATTGCCTGTGTCAGTTTCATGCATACTTGTCTTGGACTTACCCCAGCATTCACCCGCAAATCATATATGATATCGAGTGGTCCGCTGACTTGATTTGAAAGATAAGATACATTTCACATCCCTGGTCCCGGCCTTCTCTTCACCCATCCAAGGGACTGATCGTGATGGAGCTCGCCATGGATGAATAGGCCAAGCATTAAAATCACACATCACCTCACGAGATGGGTGTCCATAGAGTCAATCAGTCAGTCGCCGTGTTTGCAGCGTAGTAGTTGGTTTCGTGAGCTCTCTGCTATCAGTTTCAGAAGCCTTACAAGCATATACCTACATTCTGAGAGAGTGTGGCACTTGTCGAAAACCAACTTCTGCTCGCTTACCAGCAACTATGAAATCTGCCGCAGCTGTGGGGACTCGAGGTCCAGATGGCCATGCCTATGAATGCAATCATTTGGACCAATTTCATGTGCCCACCAATTTTGATACCGCTGGCAGAAGCTCTTTCCCTTTGCTGGCACCGCGCCAAGCCTTCGCTGCAACGGGTCCCTCTCAATTTCCTGCAAATCAGCCTGAGGGCATATATCCGAGGGGTCTTCCAAATGGAAATGGAATTATACCTTCTAACCCCACTCCTAATGGAGGCGTAAGGGGGAATTTCCCTGAAATCAATGGCGTTCTCCGGGGATTGCAGGATCGCGCTCAGGCAGCAGACCAAACACCACAGTCTTATATTCCGAGTACGAACCCAGCAACTTCCAATCATTTGGAGAAGACGCAGACCTTACCCCCCAAGACCACTCAGAAGACGTCAACATCTCCAGCTAGGACCATCAATATTATGTCTTCGTCAACATCATCGTCGACCTACAACAAAGGTGCCGACAATGGATCCATACAGGCGAGGTACCGGCCACGCTCCTCGATACCTCCCAGGATGCCCGCTGCAGTCTACGCTCAACAATGTGTGGCAGCGGCGTATGCGTCCCGACTAAATCCATACGCGCTTCACAAGAAGGAACAAGAACTCCTCCAAGATCACATGTGTCATCTCCATGTCACTGTCTACTTAAACATTCGAAACGGCATTCTGCGTTTGTGGACGCGTAATCCTATGCTGAGTGTTTCGAAGGAGGAAGCCATGGGTTGTGCAAAGGATTATCGCTGGATGAACCTTGCATCGTTTGCCTACGAGTTTCTCGTGCGCAATGGATACATCAATTTTGGCTGCATAGAGATACCAGTCTCTCCGGCAGCCTCAAAGAAGGGTCGGCGGCGGGATGGGCCTGTTATTGTTGTGATCGGGGCTGGAATGGCCGGTCTGGGGTGTGCACGCCACTTGGAAGGCCTCTTCAACCATTATCATGACCCGCTCACATCGCCCCGTGTGATAGTACTGGAAGGAAGACGCAGGATCGGGGGTCGTATCTACTCACATCCTTTGCGAAGCCTTCAGTCCTCTACCTTAGCTCCAGGATTAGTTCCCAAGGCTGAAATGGGCGCTCAGATTATTGTCGGCTTTGACCATGGAAATCCTTTGGATCAGATTATTCGGGGCCAGCTGGCTCTTCCTTACCATCTATTGCGCGACATATCTACAATCTACGATATAGATGGCTCAGCGGTGGATGAAGCGCGGGACGCAACAGACGAGATGCTCTACAATGATATACTGGACCGATCCGGGAATTATCGCCATAAATCCGTGATAGTGCCAACAGCAGAAGGTGACCGGGATCTTATCGATTCCGGACGTGATGTGTCCACTAGCGACGGCCTTACAATAAGACAATACGAAGAAGCCAGGGCTGCTGGGACCATCGGGCTTCTATTTCCTGCCAAGCGCGTCCGGCGAGGTGTTGGCCACAAAACCGCCGACATTAAACCGACCGGGGCCTCATTGGCCGAATCTGACAACAGCGAGGAAAACCCAGCTCGCCTTGCCTGTCAAACGATGGGCTGGAGTTTAAACAATGGGGTTGCAGTGAACCAGACCATCAATTTGGACAATGTGGCTAAAGCCTCCCCGTTCCCAACATTAGGCGCCGTGATGGATGATGGTGTGCGACAGTACCAGCGCATGCTCCCATTGACCCCGAAAGACATGCGACTATTGAATTGGCATATGGCTAATTTGGAGTACGCAAATGCGGCGAACATTGGCAAGCTCAGTCTTTCCGGGTGGGATCAGGATATGGGCAACGAATTTGAGGGAGAGCACTCACAAGTGATCGGTGGATATCAGCAACTCCCGTACGGGCTCTTCTCGCTGCCTACAAAACTTGATGTCCGTACCAACAAAATTGTCAGCAAAATATCCTATGGCCATACAGAACTAGGCAAGCAGAAGACGGTGGTTCATTGCGAGGATGGTGAATCTCTCGTTGCGGATAAGGTTGTCTTTACGGGATCTCTTGGTGTCCTGAAACAACGCTCGATACAGTTCTCTCCTCCGCTCCCGGATTGGAAAGTTGGTGCGATTGACCGACTTGGCTTCGGGATTATGAACAAAGTGATCTTAGTCTTTGATCAGCCTTTCTGGGACACGGAGCGTGATATGTTTGGGCTTCTGCGTGAACCTAGCAACCGAAACAGTATGATGCAGGAGGACTATGCTGCAAATCGTGGCCGGTTCTACCTATTCTGGAACTGCATGAAGACCACTGGTCTCCCGGTCCTTATTGCTCTCATGGCTGGTGACGCCGCGCATCAAGCCGAGAATACAGCAGATTCGGTAATCATCGCCGAAGTGACCAGTCAGCTGCGTAATGTCTTCAAGCATGTGGCTGTTCCAGACCCCTTGGAGACCATCATAACTCGCTGGGGTACGGACAAGTTTACTAGAGGGAGCTACTCGTATGTAGCTGCGCAAGCACTTCCAGGCGATTATGACCTCATGGCCAAGCCAATCGGCAACCTGCATTTTGCCGGAGAAGCCACCTGCGGCACTCACCCTGCCACGGTCCATGGGGCATACCTATCCGGACTGCGGGCTGCATCTGAGGTTATTGAGTCCATTCTGGGCCCCATTGACGTGCCCAAACCGCTTGTTCCGGAGAAAGGCAAAGCTGTCGACCTTGGCATACCCGTAGCGACGACAGGTCAGAAGCGAAAAGAACCTCCCTCAACAAACAGCAAGAGACCATCGCTCGACCCCATTGATGCAACGGCGAACAATGCAACACCTGAGGCACTCCATCGGGAAGCGTATGACAAAGCCATGTGGGCCGCCATCTACGAGGAACTGGGGGCGCCACCCCCACGACCAGCACGCACCGCGCTTAACCCGTTCCTACTGTACCAGAAAGACTACTGGGGCAAGTGTCGCACGCAGTGTGACGAAGCCCGCCGAGCCGCAACCAACGATCCCAACGCCAAGGCCGCGCGCGACGAGATCCGTCAAGCGCTAGGCCTCATGTGGCGCCAGGCCAGCGAGGAGGTGAAACGACCCTACTTGGAGCAGATAGAGGTCAATCGACAGGCCAATGCGAAGATCTGGGATACCTGGCGTCGCGACAATGCGGAATGGGAGAAGAAGTCGTACGAGGTCAAGGATCGGTGGTGTGCTGCGAATCCATTTGCAAACTGGGGACAGCCTGCATCGTCGCAGGAACCAAGTACAACCATTGCTCCGGAGTCTTCCCATCAGTCTGCGAGTGCTAACCAGTCTGGCCCTTTGCTGATCTCGCATGATGCCAATGCTGCTGTTGCTAAAATTAACGGGGCTGCTGCTGCCGCCGGATCTGTTATGTTGCCTAGTCAGCCAGAGGCGCCAGCTACAGCGACTGCAAATGGCACTTTGGGAGATAGTGCTCGATAAACCCTTTCATCCCTACTACCCTTCTGCAATCTCCTACCTACCCAATACAGTTTACACCCATCCAACTGCATCCTTTGTATGATTATGACTCTACTAAAGAAACAATGACCCTTTTAGACCAGAAACGAGAAAAAGATATGTGTAAAAGAAAAAATTACTCTATAACGTCTTTCTACTCTATTTTGTATTCACATTCACATTCATGAGATCGGATCGTCGACGAGGATGATGACCGATCGAATCATCAAGAAAAACCCCCATCTTTGAAAAAGAACAATCCCGTGTATCACAGAACAAATAAAACAACAGAATCGCTGGAGTGAGTCTAATATATAAAGCAGCCGTCACGGTAACAGGATAAATGAAAATGCAAACACACAGTAAAACAAGCCATGGCCCCACCTTGGCTAGAGCATAACAATGACAGATCCGTCTAGGTCGGTCTAAATGAAAACTCCAGGTCTAGATAGATAATAGAGAGGGGAATAAATATAATGGAAAAGAAGATTGGGAGGTATAGGGGATGGCGATGATGTGAAGAGGGAAATGAATCGCTTAAAGCAGAGGGTTGGACTTGTACTCGGCGGCGGCACCCTGACCGTCCTGCTTGACTTCACCGTTAACCTCCTGGGTGGCAGGCTTGACGGCGGCCTTCTCGGTAGAGGTGGCGGGCTCCTCGCCGGACTCGCGCTCGGCGATGTACTTCTCGGCCTCGAGAGCGGCGATGCAGCCGGATCCTGAGAGTTAAAGTTAGTGGGTTATAATTGACATATGTGCAAGTGTTTAGGGGAAGCTTACCGGCACTGGTGATGGCCTGGCGGTAGCGCTTGTCCTGGACGTCACCGCAAGCGAAGACACCCTCAACGCTGGTGTAGCTGGTACCGGGCTGGGTGACGATGTATCCGTCCTCGTCGAGCTTGATCTGGCCCTTGACCAGGGAGGTGGCGGGGTCGTGACCGACAGCGTAGAAGAGACCGTTGGCGTCAACAACCTCCTCCTCGCCGGAGACGACGTTCTTGACCTTGAGGTGGGTCATCAGGCCGTTGGGCTTCTCCTCACCGAGCACCTGGGTGGCGACGGAGTTGAAGCGGACGGTAACCTTGGGGTGGGACAGAAGACGGTTGGCCATGGCCTTGCTGGCACGGAGCTTGTCCTTACGGACGAGGACAGTGACGCTGCTGCCGTACTTGGCCAGGAACATAGCCTCCTCGGCGGCGGAGTCACCACCACCGATGACGAAGAGGGGCTTGTTGCGGAAGATGGGCACGGCACCGTCGCAGACGGCGCAGGCACTGATGCCGTTCTGCCAGTACTTCTCCTCACCGGGGAGGTTGAGGCGACGAGCGTTGGCGCCAGTGGCGATGATGACGGCGTCAGCAGTGTGAGCGGGCTCGTCGGTGGGACCGTCACTCCATTCCGTCCACAGCTTGAAGGGTCTCTGGGAGAAGTCGACCTTGGTGATGGTCTCGGTGATAACCTCCGTACCGAAGCGAACGGACTGCTTGCGCATGTTCTCCATCAGCTCTCCACCGCCAATGCCGTCCGGGAAACCGGGGAAGTTCTCGATGTCGGTAGTGGTGGTAAGCTGACCGCCAGCGGCGGTGCCGTTAGCCAGCATACCCTCATAGAGGACGGGCTTGAGTTCGGCGCGGGAGAGGTAGATGGCCGCAGTGTGGGCGGCGGGGCCGGAGCCGATGACTGTGTAACCCGGTTAGATTCTTCCATCGTTCTTTCTTGACTGCCATATATTTCCCAGGGAGAATGGGGATCCACTTACTAACGACGTTGGTGTGCACCATTCTGGAGGATGAAGTGGAATTGACGCGCAGGGGCGCCTTGAGGTTATTGGATAGGACGGAGGCCGAAGGCGAGGAGTTTTGTTGCAGGGACGACGCGGCGGCGGCAGTCAATCCAAGAGAGGAACGAAGGGTGGAGAAGGGAAAACGACGAAAGGCGGAGGAAAACAGATTGGCGGTGTTGAAGGGGGGAAGCGATTGGCTTTTTAAGTATGAAGAGAAGAGGAGGGGGAGGAAAGAGAGAGAAAGCGGAAGAGCAAAGAGGGGGGGGTTAAATGAATTATCTCTGGGCAGACAGACAGAACGGAGAGGCGAAGAGGGGTGGGGAAAAGGGCTGGCCGGCACGGATTAGCTAAGGGGAAAGCGCAGAATTGCAACGGAGTGGGGCAGAGAAAGAGAGAGAGAAGTGGGTGTTGGTGTGATTATTGAGACGCACCTTTGGAACTGATTGATAAGGTCGAAGGAACCAGAAAACAGACTCAACAAGTCAGGAAAGGGTGGATGAAGACCAAAGAGAGGGCAAGCACGACTGGCTCACAAATCATCCGCGGCGAGACCCGGTCACGTGCACCATTTGCTTACCAACCGGGCTGGGCGAGACCCGATTATGTCATTTAGTTATCAATGGAAAGGGTCGGGAATAGCATCAGATCACATCACTGTCATATGAACAAGAATAAATAAAAGAATACATTATTCAGTCGTCACTCGTGGAATCATATCACTCATCAGAAAGCATCTCGAACCTCTCTCCCTTCTATTTTGATCGCCCAAACCACTTTTTACGTTTAGGCACCTCCTTATTCTCTTCTTCTCCTCCCATTCCCATCTCTCCCGCATCCGGACTCACAGGCACCAGTGTCTCCGGCGGCAACACGCCTCCTTGAGCAATCTCGAACCTCGCTCGCACATCATCTTCGTCATCAAACCCATCGTCCTCGTCTTCCTCATCCGTCATGCCCTGCTCGACGTCGGTATCTTCCACCGGCGCTTTGTCGGCCTTCTTGCGTCGCACTCCCAGCCATTTCTTCCACCCTTTAGGCACTGTTGCCGCAGGCGGATCGTACTCCATGTCTTCGTAGCGTAGAATTGGCACGAGCAACTTGTATGGCGTCGTGATCCCCGCCGGATCCTTGGGGTTTAGCTCGAGATTAAGCGTGATAGCCAGGCCACCTTCCAGATTGATCAACGCCCCGAGCCCATCATCACCCCGTTTGGACTTCTGACTGAGGTTGGTGGGTCGTCGCAGGAACGGGCCGGGCTTGGGTTCACCTGCATCATCTGTGTCTGCGGTCGGGAAAGCCCCGTCCATGCTCATCCGACGCGCAGGTGGTGCCTCTCCCAGATTGAAATCTTTGGTGGGAGGCGGGCCCCGAAGGGAGAGTCGTCGCAGGAGCCCGGTCCGGGGAGGCTTCTCCCCGCGAGTGAGAGACAATGTTCTCTTGAGCTTGGCGGGTCGGGGTTCTTCCTCAGCTGGGGCATCGGGCGGCGTTCCGGGTGGCGTGGTGCCTATCAATCTGTCAGACCCCGAAGCTTCACACAGTCTTGATTAAAGACGCAATAGTAAAAGTGGGTCAACTTACCAGGCTTGTACTCCCGAATAGAACACCAATTTCGGCGTGGGAGCAACCGTTTGTTGTTCCGGGGCTTGTTATTCACATCATGGGTAAAGATGGGAACCATATCTTCGTCCGTGTTGGTGTCCATATGATGCACGCGGTTGCGCTTGTTGAGCATGTCGGATATCATTTCCGTCTCGGGCATGTCAGCGATTGCTGAAGAGATGACGTTTGGCATGTATCGATAGTCTCGGTCTTTGGGCACGTCCAACTTGGGATTGGAGTAAAACTGGCCGATCGCCGCCAGATGCACGTCGCCGCTGGAAACAGTCTTGGTTAGTTATATCCTGCACTGCAGGGGCAGAGTAGCTCTTACCTTAGAATGGTCACCCGGACGGATTTCTCTGCCGCAAGATCCTGAAGGTCCTCGATCAGATATGTCCGCTCAGCCTTGTGCCGCTTAGAAGTCCAGTGATCATCGAAGATCTCGACTTTGGCGCCATTCTTGTTCACGAAACCGCCAAAAAGCCCTGCTTTTCCAAGCGATTTCCGGCTGTTGAGGATATTCTTGACCATGGCCTGCGAAGACATTAGCATAGCGCGAGGGGGATTAGACAGGAGTCAGTGACATACCACTCGTGGATACGCCAGGGGGATGCCCAGGGACACAATCAAGTGTCGGGTTTCGCCTCGAACTATCTCCTGGTGGCATCTATCCCAGATCAATTCGCCAGTTTCTTCCGAAATAATCTCGTCGGTCTGGTGGTTCGCTGTTAGCATCAAAGTAGTACCTAACGTGCCATTGTAATACTTACCATTCGTTCTGTTCGGCAATCCAAACCGAGGAAAGCTACTCCGTCACCCAGCGACATGAACAGATGCCGACTGCGTTGATTGATATAAGGTCCTGGCTTAGCACCAAGCAGCCAGCTAGGCTCCTCAGTTTCAGTTTCTTCCGGGACACTGTGATGCTGGAAAAGCAAGTAGTACTTGAACGCAATATTGCCTAGTCCCGAGATGACGGGCGAGTTCATGAATTCCTCCGGGTAGGAGCCGAATCCCTCGATGATCTCGTGGTCATTCCACATATTAACCATGGGGATCTGGGAGTTGGCGAGGGAGAACAATCCTTGCGAGAACCAAGAGGCATAATTCTCTAGGTAGAAGTCTTCCAGTTCTGCCTTGAACTCTGCAGTAAAGGGCGCCTCGTATTTCTCATTCAGATTCTTGATCTTGACCCATTCCTGGAAGTGGGCGGTTTCCGCAATGACCTTATCATTGAAAATCTGATCGCCACCACCAATCATGACGTGGAAAGGACGAGTCTGGTGCTCATTCAGGACATCTCGCCAGAGAGGGTCTGGGCCGCTGAGCTTGTTAGAGTCCACCGCGGGGCTGAATCCATTGCCGGTATGGAACATGATGTTCATTGACTGTCCCCTGGCTGGCACCCAAAAGCCTAGAGCCGGTCCATGATTCAGACGGTACGCGACCCGCTGCTGAGTCGGGCCCAACTCAATCTCAATGTTGAATTTCCAGAACGTGACGTCCCGTCCGGGATCAGCATAGAGACGAGCGCCTGTGATTTCTTTGTAGCTTCCAGCAGTCTCTCCGTCCATGGAGTGGATGCGATTGGCCGGGACCGGCTGCCTGACACCCTCACTGCTGTAGTCCATAATACTGGGGGACAATTCAAAGATTCCATCGTCATTTTCAACAAATGACAGATCTTCTCCTTCCGCGGTATGCTCTACAGGCTTGACATACAGAGGTCTACCGTCCCGGCCCAACTTCATCAACCCTGCGGTTGGGTCAACGTACTCGGGTGCCAGTTGAGAATCTTCCCCTCCTACCTGGACAGGCGGAGGAGCAAGAAGGTCCATGGGCTGAGCAAACACCCTCAACGTTGGACGCGGCTCATAGGAGGAGAGTGAGTCTTGCGTGACGATTAGGACACTGCCTCTCCAGGTCTCCTTGTTAAATGGCCCATTGGGACCATCAATTCGGACCCGCTTCAAGCCAGCGTAGCGGAGCAGAGGTCCGCTTTGTAAGAAGATTGATGGCTGGAAGCGCTTGTTACCTGTTTTGAATGCGTGGTTAGCAATCAGATAGCCTTGAATTGACAGTTTAGTTTCTTGCTGCTTACTTGTTGGCTTCTGAGCAGACGGCTTCTGGGCAAAGCTGTCGGGCAGGGCCCGACTGAGTCTGCGGTTGCTGCTTTCGCCAGTTTCCCACCAGGCCTTACTCCGATCGGCATCAAAACGTTGGAAGTCGAAATCAGAGGCCCCCAACCTAGCTATAGCTGCAGTCCTCCATTCAGAGAGAGGGGGAGGTGTTGGCGGGGGCACGTTAAACGAGACCTTGGGCTTAGACGGCACATTTGTCTCCGCTGGAGCAGAGGGCATTATTGGGTTGTTTACATCCAGTCCACTGTCTACGCTAGCCTTGGCAGGTGCTGCTCCAGTAGGATTCTTCAACACGCCCTGCTGGGTAGTCGGTCCTTGCATAGAAGGCCCCCTCTCCGGGATAAATTGTGGGGGCGACTTAGTTTGATTAGCCGTCGGATTGGCAACTGGTGGCGCACGGGTGCTGGGCTGACTAGGAACGGCCTTCCTGGCCGGGACGGCCATTCTAGATTGATCAGGAAACGCCGAGTCGGGAGCAGCAGAACTAGGTGGATACGGTTGTGCATCTCGTTGTTTGCCCTGATTCATTGCTCGCGGGCCCATCGGTGGTCCTTGCGGAGGGTGGCTCACAGATACCGTTCGCCTGGGAGCGTTGCCGGTTCGTGCCATCGGCCCGTCTGGCCGACCCCCATTGAAGTCCTGAATCTCATCAAAAGCGCGCTCTGCGGCGTCTTGTGAAGGTGGCATTCGGCTGCGAGGCGGCCTGGCTCTTTCGGAAGAGTCTGGCCCTTCGGGGCTGTAAGCAGTGTGTCCTTCAGAAGCCGCATGCCGATGATGCGATCGCTTTGCTCCCTGTGCTGGTCTTGGCTCGGCCGTTCGTCCGGGGACTGCTCTCTTATCCACGCTCTCTAGTGAGTCAGAAGGCTGCGCCATTGCTATCGCACGACTTTCAGTCTGCCGTTTCATCCGTTCCCTCAGTTTCATTTCAGCCTCTAGAGCGCGTGCCCGCTTCTCCTCCTTGCTCGCACCCGTATAAGTGGTCTCGAGCTTTTGGAGCGGCGAGCGATCGGATGCCCAGTCCCGTCGCTGTTCGGTTGCAGAGCGGACTGTGCTCGACCGACTTACTGGGGATGGCTGACTATTTGAGGATAAAGAGGCCTTGTGTGCCTCAGCGCCGTGCTTGTCAGCTCTCTTGGCCGATGATTTCGAGCGCTTTTCAGACCATACTGGGCGGTCCGGCGTTGGTAGATTTTCACCTTCTTCCATGTTGTCTTCTGGATACACGTCTCTCCTGTAGCTTTTGCTTCTGGTAGAATAT